GAAAGATTAAAGCTAACTTCTGGGGCAGTGGTGAAAGCACAGAGATAACTATTGAACCTAAAATAGAAGAACAGTCAAGGAAACATGATAGCAGAAGAGGTGCCCAGCAATTTGCAAGCAAAAGCCAGGGGACAGGGAAGGTGCAACAGCCATGACATCTGAGGTCTACACACTGGCTGCATTCATGTGGCTAACCATGCCACGTGACACCTGCAGAGTGTATTTTACCTTGTGGTCAGGGGTCAGGCAGATACATGGTTTCCATGCATGAGTGGTTTCCACCCTCTTCCATCTTTCCTCCACATGTATCCCATCAGCTGCCGTGGCTGAAAACCAACTCTGTATGCACTGCTCCTGCCTGCATATCCTGCTCTTCCCTCATTGGCCCACATACTACTATGGGCATGGCCTCAGCTAGCTGCCTTTTTTGTTTGTTTTTGTTTTCCTGCTGCTCAGTGAAGCAATCGCCTACTTGCTAGGGTAGCACTGTTGTTCTAGAGTAGCACTGCCTGCTGCCACCTTGTTCTGTGCCAATGTACAAGCACACCCACCCACACCCACCCCTCAGTGCCCATGTGTCCATGTTCCCCCAGGACCAGCACATACAGCCAGGGGCTGCTTCTTCCCTGAGGCCAGATATCTGGAAGGTATAATCACAGGTACCTGTGCTAGGGATGGAGGGAGCACATCTGGTTGGGTAGACTTTCCTGAGGAAGTGCATGTGGGCACCTGCCTGGGAAAGTTTTCTGGCTGGCTGTCTGCAATGTGTTTGTTGTGCAGCTGTGGAAATGAGATAGGCAACAGAAGAGCTTGTTGGGAGTCCTAAGGACTGACAGGGACAAAAAAGGAGTGCAGTTGTGGGTGGCAGGTGGAGTGGGAGACATGGGCCCCTTGGAGTGCTTGTACTGCTGGTGTCGTGCTGCTTGCTGTCCATGTGTTTCTCATGTGCAGGGTACTTTCCCCAAAAGACCAGAACTTCTGTGCATAAAGTGATGGCAGAGCGCCGAGACCTGCTCCAGAGTACAGTGCAGCAAGTAGGAGTGTCAGACATGGCCATCCCCATGGTTGCTGCTGCTGGAAACAGCACTGAATGATGTCCTCAAAGATGCAGGAGAAAGGGGACAAAAGGTGGGCCTCTAATGGCAACACACAGAAAAAGGAAACTGAAGCACTGTTGGTAACAAGTCAGCAATTGCTAGACAGACCTGAACAGTGACAAGTGCAGGGAGGAGTGGCTATTGCAACCATGGCTGCTGTTTGAACAGGTGCTATGGAAGAAACATGGAAACCATGTGGAGTTGTAGTTTCTGGCTTCAGACATGCAAACAAGCCATAGTTAGGCATGGAAACTATAGAACTGACATTATCTCTCTGCATGGTTCCATGGAGACCATCCTTACCACACTTCACCATGGTTGCTGAGCTCAGACATAATGGTAATCCATTTCACCAGTTTCCACTGTGGTTTGTCATTATGTCTGAACCTGACCAGCATGGGAAAAAACAGGAGAAGCTTGACATCCTAATATGGGTTGCCAATTTTTTTTATGTAATTGATTGGATGAGATTCATGACTGGAATCTAACAACTGAATAGTGTGTATTATTTGAAAGGAATAGATTCAACAAATAATTGCAGGATGATGGGGAGAGTAGCATTATATGAAGAATGCATACACCTGCATGGAAATCCATGAATTTGAGAATGAATGCTCCATTGAAAGTATTTAGGTAGAGATATTAAGAATGGGAAACAGTAGTTATACTGTTGTAGCAATTTAATACAAATCAGCCAGCTGGCATGAATGACAATTTCTTGAAAAAAATGACAAAACTTTCACAGAGGCAAGCAGAGGAGTAACAGGGCCTTTAAACTATTCTGGCATTTGCTTTAAATTTAAACGTTATTTTAATTAATTGTTAATTTATTTATTGGTTTTATTTATTGCCTGGATGTATCCAATTTTTATATTTTTGTATTGTTATTTATTTGTTGGAAGCTGCCCCGAGGCTTATGCGAATGGGGCAGCATACAAGTGTCCCAAATAAATAAATAATAAAATAAATCTAAGAATGCTACATTCAAGAAATGTTGGACTTGTTATGCTGACAGCTTCATCTCACAGAATGTGGTAGAAGGAACGAGAGGGGGTGTTGTCCTGGGTTAAATCCATGGGCAAGAATTGGTTGAAGAGGTGAACATAGTAGGAACGTTAAGGAAAAGTAGCCATGTTATCTTGGAATTCACAATAGCAACTGCTGAAAAAATAAGATCGGTCAGATGTGTAGCCTTAATTTTAGCAAAGGTAATGTGAAAAAGGTCACATGATTGGAGTTCATGAAAACTGAAATACGGAAGGCAAAATGCAAACCATTCTCATGAAATGGAAAAATGAGAGACATTAGAAGAAGCAAGTGTTCTTCAGCAAACTCTCTGACATGCTTAGAGATGCTTACACAAAGCAGAAGCAGCAGTCCAAAGCTATAAGGGCAATGTCAAGAAGCTAAAGCTCAGAATGAGCTAAAGCTTTCAGTGGACACTGTAAAAAAAGAGTCTTCTTTGGATACGCTGGGAGCAAGAATATAAAAGAAGGCTAGATCTGCTGCTTTGGAGAAAAATACAGATTGTTAACAGGTGATGGAAAGAGAGCAGAACTCTTCCTCATGTTTTGCCTCCACTCTTTTCCCACAAGCAGAATAATGTTCACCCTGCATCAAGTAGAACAAACAAAGAGCTTCAACTATGGAACAGTATAGATAAATGATGACGACAACGACGACAGGAGGGACTTGCAGCCCAGTTTACACAAGGAAATGGTTAGAAAATATCTAGCTACTTTAAATGAGTTCGAGTAACCAAACTTGGATTAATTACGTGTTGAAAGAGCTGAGATCTGTACTATTTGTGAATTCCTGGAGAATAGATGAAATACAAGAAGGCAGAAGATAGGAACATTGTTCTTATCTTCAGCAAGGGAAAAAGGAGGATAGAGGGAAGACCAGTAAGCATGACAACAATACTAGGCAAAATTCTAGAAAAGATTTTTTAAGTGGCAAGTCTGCGAGATCTTAATGCATTTATGACCAGCAATCAACATGGTTTTATCAGAAATAGGTACTATTAAACCAACATTATACCCTGTTTGAGTTTTTAGTTTGGTAGATAAAACAAATTCCAGAGATACTATATATCTTGATTCAGCCAAGCTTTTGATAATGTTACATGATATCCTTGTTGACAAGATGGTGAAATGTGGGTTGAACACTACTGTAAGGTGTATTAGCTTGTGTTCTTACCCTGTGTCCTGGGCTCACATAATCATAACTACTCATGAGTAGTTTCCACAATCTCCATATTCCCTCCAAAAGGCGACATGTATCCTATCAGCCCCTGTGGCTCAGAATCAATTCCAGAATGCACTACTCCTGCTTGCCTCTCCCCCATTGGCCCACATGCTCTCCTGAGCACATTCTCGTAAAACTGCCTTTTAAAGGTTTTTTCTGCTGCTCAGAGACAACTGCCTGCTCACTAGAGCAGCACAGTTGCCCTAGAGAACTTCCTGCTGCTGCCTTAACTGTATGCCAACATGCAAGCACACCCTCCACAAACCCACCTTTACCCTCTCTCTTGCTGCACATGTCCACTCCACACACCCCTGTGCACAGGACTTGCACATACTACCAGGGGTTGTGTCCCCACCGCACCCAGGCACAGGGATGCCTGCAGGAACAGTTTCCCACAGCAGCATGTGGGGGAAGCCTACCTGCAAAGGTATTCTGGCTGGCCAAAGGAACAAGTGTGTTTTACGCAAGTGTGGCAGGAGGGTAGGGTACAGCAGGACGTGTTGACAGCCCTCAGGAATGCCAGGGACAAGATAGGAGTGGTGGGGAGGGCAGGGGAGAGAGTGGAAGACCTGAGCTTCTCAGGGCAATTGTTCTGATGGTGATGCCCATGCACAGTTACCATGCTCCTGTTGTGCAAAGCTGCCTTCACAAGAGGAGAGTGCTGGCTGCCCTGGTACAATACAATACAGTGATTTCAGAGCACTGCTCCAGCAAAGTGCAGCAACCAGATAGGAGTGCCAAGTGTACCTGTCTCCAAGGTCACTGCTGCTGGAGATGGTGCTGTGCGTTGCCTTGCTGCTGCTGATATTCCAGACCTACAGTGCTCCAACAGAGGGAAAAAGCAGCATGAGGCAGCCAATCAAGAGAGTCTCTTAGCAATTACTAGGCAGAAAGGGACAGCAAAAATGGAGTATCTGCTACTGCAGTGGCTGTTTTTACCGCCAAACTCAGTGCAGAAACCAGAAAACTACAAAAAAGTATTGTAACTGGATTCACAGATAACAACATGCAGTGCTGAACTGTGGAAACCTTAGAACAAACCATTGATTCTCTGTGGGGATTCCTGGTATCCAAGCGTGCCACACTTCACTATGCTTGCTGAATTCACATATAACAACCAACCATTCCTGCCATGGCTTGACCTTATGTGTGAATACAGCCAATGAGTGCTCATTAATGGCTGTAGAGTGACTACTAGGGAGATCCCAAATGGAGGCTTATATGGCTCTTTCCTTGGTCCTATGCAATTTGCATTTTAATAAACTGAATACTGATATAAAGGGGATAGTTCTCAAATTTGCATATAGCCAATACCACAGGCAACAGGTTCAAGATTTAAAACTATCTAGACAAGCTTGAAGACTGGGCAAAAACTAGATCAAAGAAATAAATTTAAAATCTACCATTTATGTACAATAACAATAAAAAATCAAATACACTACTATAGGGTAGACTTGGCTTGGCAGTAGCATGTATGAAAAGGTCCTAGGTATACTAAAGTGCAATCACATGCAAGTTTAAATTAAAAGGGTCCATCTGTGCAAATTTCTGACACTGAAAAACAAGTTACCACAACTGAACAATTTGTGAGATGGTATTAAAGATTTTTGGGCCTCCAAAAATTGAAAAGAAAGCACTGAAAAAAGGGGGTAGTGAGACTGGGGAGACAAGTTGGATTCTGCTGTGAAGGACATGGGTATACTGCCTAGAGGACTGAAAGGGAAAATGGGGGATAACAAGCTATGGTGCGCCCCATGGTTTGTAGTCTACAAACAAGTCATGTTGCATAGCTTATTCACAGGATAGCTTAGCATGTCTGGCATGCCTATTCAGATTGTGGCCAGGTATGATGCATTAACATGGGCACATTCTTTTTAAATCTATTGGTTCATTTATAGAGTGCAGTGTGTGTAGAAATGTGAAGTTCCTTTAAAAAAATAATTTTGTTAAAAAACAACAACACAATTTTACCATTTTTTTCCAAAGCCTTTTTTGGTTTGTTTTATGAGGCAAAGAAAGGATTATGGAATTACTTTCTTTCAGAATGATGAACAACATGTATCAGACAAGGTGCTCATATATTTACTTCTCTGTAGTTTTAACTTTAAAAACTATGTAATAGATACTTATGTAAGACTATGAACACAATCAAACCACTGACCACAAGTAAGTTTTAGGCTGTAAACAGAATACAACTCCCAAATGAAAGAATAAGATGCATTTCTCCCTCTAGGTGGCACTGCCATTACAGAAGATTTCTGTTTCTTTAAATCATACAATCGTAGAATAGTAGAGTTGGAGGGGGCCATGAAGGCCATCAGGTCCAACCCCTTGCTGGTGCAGGACAACAAGTTACACCAACCCAAATGTGGGATTCCTCTTGTTGGTAAAGTTCCTGGATGTATTTCTGTTGTCTTGACTAGGCCTCAAAGGACTGTAAGAAAGTAGAGAGCAACAAAAGCAGCTTAAAGTATACTGATTTGAAAAAGAGTTTAAATTTATTGAAATTCAGAAAATTGAACCACAGTTTAATTGCATTAATGTATCTTTATAAACCTTATGTCAATCATAATTTAGTTCCTACTAAGTTGATGCTTCATTGCAACCCACCCATCCACCCCTGCCACCATAGCTCAGTATTCACTGGCAAGCTAACCACTATATTATTCTTTCTTTTCCTCCCCACAGCAAAATCGTGAAATCAACATGTAGCATATGCAGGCATTTCCACACCGCAAGTTTTCCTGAGGAAACAAAAGAGGTGATTTACAAATACTGTTAAATGAAATACGCTTTTCTAAATGTTCCTAGGATGCCAAAAATATCATTCTGGCATCTAAAAAGAAGTTCTGCAATCATTAAAAATCCTTCATGGATCTAAGTGAAGAAGACCATACTGATGAAAGTGCAAGCAGTATTCCCAACGTTCTCATTCCTTTTATAACACCAGCATTGTCATAAAGAATTTCCTCATCAGCATCTTCAAGTAAACAAACACTGCAAACAACTGCATTCAAAAATGCTCACTTCATCTGCAGGAAGATGACATCTGAAATATCAGGAAAAAAATGACTCAGTTCCTGCAAGAGCAATATATTCTTCTGGAACCCTACTGGCAATAACTGAAAACACATAGGAAGATTTTAAATTACAAAAATCATACTGTTTGCCTAGCAGACATGGACTGAGCAAGCCTCTTCATAGTCAGAATATGAACATGTAGTGGAATTGATGGCAATGAGAAATCAGCAAAGCACTGTGTGCTGTTGTACTTTATGAATGGATAAATGTAGAGAAAAAAGGGTTCATAAACGTTATGATAACACCTCACTCAGTTTTTTATAGAAGCACTGAAACAGGAGTGAACAAGCATACCACAGAGTGCGTCAGCTGTGAAATATGTGAAATGTGAAAATTAGGTAAAGTATTTGTTTTGCTTACAAAACAATTGCAGTAACGTGGCTACATTCATATACAGAGAATATGAAAGTAGCATGGGAGATCATAATGGATAAGTAGCCACATGTTACTGTAATAGAATGTGCATGTTATGGGTTAAACTTGCTATTTAATAACATCAAAAGACTGAATACCTTCAGTAAGATCTATAGATGAGCAAAAAAAAAAAAAGACATGTAAAAGCTAGGCATGCTATAAAGAACTTCAAGGAGAAGAACAAAAATGCAAAGAATAAGAGTGACACTGAAGTTGCAATGATGAGAGTGGTGATCACCTTGTAAGTTTATTTAAAAAACAAAAGCTGTTAACTAAACAATAATCTTGAGGATCTTACAGTACCCAGAAGTATATGGGTTCAGCTGCAGAACTCCCCAAAGCTCAGGGAACCAAGAATCAAATTGGATGCCAGGAAGTACTTCCTGATGGTTAGGACCCCAAGGGTATGGAATGGGCTTCTATCGGAGGTGTTTGAAGTCCCATTGGTGAGGGTGTTTAAGGATAGGCTGGACATGCAAATGGTAGGCATGTCATGAGTGGAGATGGCTAGAGCCGGGGATCAGACTAGGTGGCCCAGGAGGCCCCTTCTCACTCTGTTTCTGTGTTTCTATGTTTAGCAAACACTGCATCCAAATCAGGCAGTGCACTTTTGTCAGAAATTCCTCATCAAACAGCAAGATAAAATGACAGTAGAAGACAGTAAGTGTATCTTCCCTTACAAGGGCAGAAGCAAGTGAAAGATTTTAGTAGGAAATTGGAAGCATTTTATTGCCATCCAATTCATACTGCTGCAAAAATGCTACATCAAGATTGAAAGGCATAATGGTAAATGATGAGAGCTCTGATGTTGCATTTGACTGGATTACAGAACAAGCAGCACACTTATGACTCGATGTTGAAAGGTATTTTCAAATGGTGCAAAATACAGAATATCTTCAGGGATTTGGTATAGGAATGGACTGTCATTCTGCCAAAAATATCCCTCCTGAAACATGGTAGGGCAAATCCTTCACAAAGCACAGCTTCTGACTCCGTTTGCTCCTCAAGTACTTAAGATTCCTCCATCTTCCGTAGCATATGAAAGAAACTGCTCAATGTATTGTATCCTGCCTTGATCCTTGCCAGTCATGGCTTATTGGAAGAACTAAGGATTCACACCTGGGTCCAAGAAGCTGTAAACACCTTGTTCAGAGAGGGAGTGGTGCCAGCATCTTTAAAGGAGGCCGTGATCAAACCGCTCCTAAAAAAGCCTAACTTGGACCCACTGGATGTGAATAATTATAGGCCAGTTGCTAACATCCCCTTCCTGGGCAAGGTATTTTGAGCAGGTGATAGTCAGGCAACTCCAGACACTCTTGGATGAAATGGATTATCTAGATTATCTAGAATCTGGAAACAGTTATTCATGCTTTGGTAACCTCTTACTTGGATTACTGCAATGTGCTCTACATGGGGCTGCCTTTGAAAACTGTCTGGAAACTCTGATTCAGCACAAGGTACTTGGCTGCTACTGAGGACTGGCCCACATTATCATATTACTCCAGTCCACTTTCAGCTGCACTGGTTGCCAGTTGAAGTCCAGGCCCAATTCAAAGTGCTGGTGTCAACATTTAAAGCCCTAAACAGCTTTGGACCAGGTTATCTAAAGGAATGCCTTGCTCCATATTTTCCTTCCTAGCCCCTGAGATCATCTGTTGAGGTCCTTTTCAAAAAGACCCACAAAAGAATCTAGGGGAATGATGATTAGGAGAAGGACCTTTTCAGTAGTACCATCCCATCTTTGGAACATGCTCTTGAAGGAGGTGCAATTGGCACCATCTTTGTTTTCTTTTGTGCACCAGGGGGAAATCTTTTTATTTTCCAGATTTTTAATAGATAGCATATGTTGTTTTTATTTCTGCTAAGCTATATATTAATTTTAGTATAGCTGCTGTTTTTATATGCCTTTTAATTTTTGTAAAGCGCCCAGATAGCCCACTGGCCTATGGAGTAGAATAGAAATGCAACAAATAAACAAAAGCCCTGTGGGGTAGATTGTGCTGAGAGTCTGTGACTGGCCCAAATTCTCCCAGTGAGCTCCGTGGCTGAATAGGGATTAGAATCCAGATCTCATAAGTCCTGTCCCACACTCTTAACCACTACACCACATACTAAATCACAAAATAAACTCATGGGTAAAAGGGTAGAGAAGCTTGTTTCAATCCAGACAAAACCTCCGTTTTCAGAAGTATATGATAACTACAATGAAGACTGAAGGATGAAGAAAAAACTGATAGCAGTGGCTGATAAAATGAGACTGATCAAGTATTATGTATATTCACTTAGTTCTTATGAAAATGAGTACTTTATGTCTGCTTGACAATGTGGAAGAGATGATCAGAAGAGACAAAATCTTTGCTTTATTAATACTAATAGTTTCCTCTATTTTAATTGTTTTTTTGCCTCCTGGGTAAACCAAAGAGATCCTTTAACAAATAAACAAAATTAACTAGCAATATAAAAAGTAAATTCAGTTTGCAATTAAAGTCTGAATAAACTGCACTTTTAATTTGCCAAACATGATAATTTTATGCCAAAATCTCATACATAATACAGTTTATATTCCTAAAGTTAAAAAGTGATTTTCAATCATTAGTAAAAGGTGCTAATATTGTATTTTTTCAATTTTCCAAAAAATTTTTTTCCTAAAAGAACATGAAAAAAGTATCTTTTCCTCCCATAGCTTCAAAATTTCTAGAAATGTTACATCTATGCAGGGGAAATCCCCACCCACAATTATCTGGATAGCCATATGTCAGGGATGCTGTAGCACTACGAAGTTTGCACTGAGTATGTGTTGGACTAGATATTCTCTAGGATCTCTCCCAGTTATTACTCTAAGATTAGTGGAGCTATTTGACTGCACTCCTGCACACTCTCCAAGCACAGACATTCAGCCAGAAGGCTGCATCTGTTCACAAAGTATGGCTTGTGATTACCCTAATGGCAATCCTCTATGTTGTAGGGCAAACTGCTTTTGAAAGGAGTTGAAAAAGTGGCTAGTGCACTCCTAAAACTGAACATTTAAATGTAACACTGAAATTTAAATTTGTTTCCAATTGTGTTCCTAGGCTACCTTTAAGTTATATTAATCCCCAAGCTTCATAGGACTACTTTTTGTGGGGACAGAAATGTCCATAGTTGCAGGGGAGTGCAACATGATCTAATAGAATGATAGGTTTGTTGCCTTCTCAGGGGCTAAGAAATATGTAGCCCTCCAAATGTTGTTTGACTGCAACTCCCATCAGACAAGCCAACAGTGAGAGATAGTGACAATGACTGTCCAAAAACATCTGGAGGGAAACACTTTCCTGCCTTATATTATAACAGTAAAAGTCAGACACAATGTAAAACAACCACATCCTTTAATAGAAAGCAACAAACATGCAAATAGCAGGTATAGAAATTTATTTGAACCAACGTTTTTACTATAAGGTAAGTTTTTTAAAACATTGATCCAAGCTCCCATATTTGCAGGTTAAGGGAAAATATTGCACTTTGCATTTTCTAGCACCCCTCATACATGGCAAAACATTTTTAAAACATTTTGCTTATTTTACTTGTGCACTCTCATAAGTCATGCACACATTCATTCAAAATCAAATGTTAGGTTATCCAAAAGCAAAACCTTAAAATTGCACTAAAGCTTTGTAGGGAAAAATATAATTCATGACTTATACAAATTTAATGATGTCTAGCTGCTTCCAGAGAAGAACCAATTACTCTTCATCTTCATTTTCATTCTCTTGGCCAGACCCTTCAGATCTGTCACCTTCCAGTCGATCTGCAAGATACAAAAGAATTTTTAACAGAATGAAGTGATTATGAAGTATTTTTCCAATTTGGAATACAAAGTTGCATAACACTGTATTCAGGTCTTCAGTGTACTGGTAGTGTATTTGTACCTGGTAATTAACCCAGGAGAAATGCTTAAAATGCACTAACCATATATATTCTCTCTAAATTATGATGGGAACATAACATCATGAATTATATGCATAATGTTACAAATTCTGAGTTTAATAACAAGAAATTTTTTACAGAGGTAAGATATCATCAGTAAAGCACTTTTCTTGTTCTAATAGATGAAAAAATCATACAGGTCTTCCCTTGACATGTGCAGCATTCTCTTATGTTTATGCATTTATATAGATTTAGATGAAATGGTAAAAGCACAATCCTATATATGTTTACACAAAAAATCCCTAGAATTACTTACAACTGCTAAGGCGTGGTGAGAATTGCAAGTCTTTTCCTGTCTAAACACACACAGGATTGTATTCTTAGTCTTTAAAAATGGCTAGAAAAAATAGGTACAGAAACCATCTCAGATCTTGAATCTATGCAAAAATATATATTGAGTCATCTTACCTGCCCTTATATGGTTTAAGGATGCCAACATCCTTAACATAAAAGAAGCTGGAACAGTGATTGTGTTTCTGGTTTCTTCCAGCATTAATTCATTTCGAGTTATAACCTACAAATAATGGAACAGTTACTGTGCTAGCATAGTAAGCATTTATTCTAAAATAGCAATGTGTACATTTAAATGTTACTATTCTAGTACTATTTGAAACATTTGTATCAGTATCTGTCAAATACTTCTGTTTGCTCAGAACATTTTCCCTGGTACATACAAGTTTTCCCAATTTGGGGTTGTACATGATATTTAAACATTGTTAAAGTGAAATCCTGTTCATTTCTAAAAAAAAAATAATGTACATTTGATACTGTTTCAATACACATCACATGCATCTTAGAATTTAATTATCTATTCCAATAAAGATAAGACTTGTATTTTCTTACAAGTTACATAAAAGTAATAGTGGTGCAAAACATTAGGTTCCTCAAGCAAAGGCAAGAGAAATAGTTACAAGGTGACTATAAGGAAATGTGGATGCTATTAATGCAAAAAATTATCTTACCTCATCAGCAAGTTTCCGATTAAAAATCTTGGACTCTTCTAAAGGTGACCAGATCTTTATATCATAATCAATACCTGATGAGGCTAGAACTAAACAATAGTTTAATAATATATTAGAAAGCTCTTGTAAAAATTAAGATTTAACAAATGCAAATAGTATTTCAAGGTTGATGCATTTTGTTAAATTTCAATTAAGAGCAGTTCCATTGGACTGTAGATTAAAAATGTTTCAGAACAATAAATGAATATTTTATATGATTTATGCTATTTAAAAAAGAGCTCCCTGCTCTATCATTTAATGACACATTGAAAAGTTGTCTCAGTGGAGAAAGTTAAAAATCTGTAAGTCAAGATATAGAGAAAAATGAATGGTGAATGTACTTATTGCTATGGTTTGCTTTTTTTTGGATAATTTACCATATTTGTACTGATTTTTATTACTTCAGCTCACTACGACCAATGCAACTGCTTTTGCAAAAATTATCTGCCAACTACAAATATAGGTCACATACCAATTAATTAAGAAAACACTTGATTTCATTCTATTTTTACATTTCCAAAAATATTACAGAAGTAAAAATATATTAAATATGATACATAAATTCCAATTCCCCTGCTCCTCCCCAAAAATTCTGTGTGTACATGTTTAGTTTCATGAAAGCTAATTAACAGTGAATTTCATAATCTGGGTTTTGGGTGGCTGTGATTATTGAGCATTGCTGACTATTTTTAACGTGTTGCTCCAGATAGAATCATGTATTTAGGGGGGGTTTCTTTTTTGTACTGTTTCCTCTAATATAATGCACAAATGTGTTTCCACAAAAACATCTCGGGATCTTGTGTTTTTCAGGGCTTTAAAAGTTGCTTTCATAACTTTTCTGTAAGGGTGATGTACCAAACCCTTTCCAACCAAGTTTTCAGTGTCAAATTAACAGCTGTTTTCCAGTATTGTGCTAGAACTAGTCTGGTTGTAGTTATAAAGTGGCTTAGTAGATCGTTAAACAATATGTCTTTTAAATCATGAACAAGCAGGTTTAACAATACTCACAAGAAAATGCATGACCTGTGATAATGAATATTTCATTAATAAGTAGTTCCTAAAAGGACTGAAATTTCTTGTGGCTTCACTATATATGGAAATGGGACCCCATTTGCTGATTTCCTCTCCAACACAGTTGCCTAGACTGAGGATTTATTCTGTGACATAAAGTAAGTGTATACAGCCATCTATTTACTGTTCTAATGCTGGTCTCTTGTATTTTTCCTGTTATTAATTTGAAAGGTTATTTATCCATAGATTTTGCTAATCTGACATTTATATATTACAGTTCAGGTCTGTCTCCCATATTGATTTTAAAGAATATAGTTTACCAATCCCTGAGTGACAGATAAACTTATAAATGCTTGACATAGTTTCTTGGAAGAATATGTCCCATTTAAAATTAGTGGATTTATGGGATCTGGAGATATGAGCGAAAAAAGCAGGTTGCTTACCTGTAACTGATGTTCTTCGAGTGGCCATCTGTGCAGTCACACATATGGGTACTGCACCTGCGCAGTGCCTATGACCAGAAGATTGATAGCTAACAGTTTGACGGGAAAACTCCCCTCCCCTCCCCCCGAGCAGTATATATGGAGTGTCCGCCATTTTCCAGTCTTTGACAGACCGGACGTTCGCTCTCTAAAGAACAAATTGTAACTAAGGAAGGAAAAAATTTGTCGGTATCAACGACAAGAGAGAAAAATATTGTGTAGGTACCGAGGACAAGAATAACACGGTACCAAAACAACAACACCCAGTGACACCGAGCAGGGCCGGCGGGTGGGTTGTGTGACTGCACAGATGGCTACTTGAAGAACATCAGTTACAGGTAAGCAACCTGCTTTTCTTCTTCGTGGCCTCTGTGCATCACACATATGGGTAGATTAGCAAGCTTACCCTGACTGGAGGCAGGAAGGTATCATCAACGAAGAATAGCTGAAAGAACGGCTCTGCCAAAGGAGCAGTCCTGTCTAGCACGGACATCCAGCCAATAATGTTTTGTGAATGTACATGGAGTGGCCCAGGTGGCAGCCCTACAGACATCGTCAATTGGAACTCCCGACACAAAGGCTGAAGAAGCAGCTACAGCTCTAGTAGAATGACCCCTTGGAATTGTAGGTAAGTTTATCTTAGCCAACTGACAGGAGAGAGTAATGGTGTGGACTATCCACTTGGAGAGTCTCTGTGGGGTAACTGGAAAACCTTGATTTTGCTCAGAGTACTTAACAAAGAGCTTGTTGGAATGTCGAATAGACTCAGTCCTTAATCTATAGAAGGCTAGGCAGCGCCATACGTCAAGTGTGTGTAAGGATCTCTCAATCGGATTCGACGGAGATGGAAAAAAGGCAGGTAAGACAATCTCTTGACCCATGTGGAAGGAGGTAGCCACTTTGGGAAGAAAGGATGGATCCATTCGCAGAACTACTTTCTCCCTATGGAAATTCAAATACGGAGGGTCTACCCTGAGGGCACAGAGCTCACTAGCTCTCCGAGCTGACGTAACTGCTACAAGGAATGCTGTTTTCCAAGAAACAAGACGTAAATCGATCGTCACCAAGGGCTCGAAAGGAGCTCTTGTTAGCGCTTGTAATACCACTGAAAGACTCCAAGTAGGCATAACCGGTCTGACCGTCGGATGAAGGTTATGGAGCCCTTTAAGGAATATCTTTATCAGTGGTTGAGAGAAAATGGAGGAACCTTGAACTGTACCACGGTTCATTGGATCCGATGATGTAGGGAAGACAGATGGATTCGAAGCATGGAGTAACGTGTCAGATCTGGGGACAGGATCTGTAGAATGTGCAGATGACATCGGTACCGAGTCAGCGCCAACTGTTATCAAATTCGCCAGGATGTCAACTTCAGCGATGTTAAATTCGGGTGGCGAATTGTGCCTTCTCGTTGGGTTATGAGATATGGAATGGATGGGAGTTGAAGATATTCTTGAGAAATGTGAAGAAGCATCGAAAACCATGCTTGGTGTGGCCACCATGGAGTTATCAACAGTCCTGTGGCCCCGTCATGGATTATCTTCGATATTACTCTCATAATGAGGGGAATCAGAGGGAAAGCATAAAAATTCATATTGTTCCAAGCGATCATAAAGGCATCCCCTGATGACCCCTGTCCGATTCCCGTTTTCAAGGAAAAAGTCTTGCATACCCTGTTCTGCCAGGTGACGAACAAGTCTATGTCTGGGTGGCCCCAGCGATGGAATAGCTGGTCGCATGTCTGGCGATCCAGTTCCCATTTGTGAGATGTGGACATGTGTCTGCTTAAAAGATTGGCTTCCACATTGTCCGTACTGGCTAGGTGTACTGCTATCAGGGTAATGTCTCTCGGGATGCACCACTCCCAGATTTGCATCGATAGCCGGGCTAACATTGGTGACTTTGTCCCTCCTTGTTTGTTCAGATAAAAGACCGTAGCAATGTTGTCTGAGGTTATCTGAACGACTTGGTGCCGAAGAACGTCCTCGAACTAGCATAGGGCCTGAATATCGCCAGGTGTTCCAGGAAATTGATGTGGTTCCCGGATTCCTGCTGGTTCCACACGCCTTGACTGCGTAGATCGGAACACACTGCTCCCCATCCGAGTAGGAAAGCATCGGTACCAAGAGTCACTGAAGGGCTTCGGGGTCGGAATGGAACCCCAACGGTTAGGTTGGCTGGAATTGTCCACCATAGCAGAGAGTGAAGAACACAAGATGGGATCCGAATTAACTTTGTTGGTAAGTCCTTTTGCGGTCGAAACATTTTGTTGAAGAAAAGCAGGAGAGGACGAAATTGAAGTCTGGCATGTGGGACAATGGCGACTGATGCAGCCATATGTCCCAAGAGTTTTTGGATGGATCGGGCAGGAACTGTCCTGTCTCATCACATTCGATGGATGTGGTGAGCAAGAGTCTGCTGTCTGTCCCATGGGAGGAAGGCTTTTGCCATCGTGGAATCCAGACGGGCTCCAATGAAAGTAATCATCTGTACAGGAACAATAGAAGATTTCTCAGTATTAATGCAAAGTTCAAGGTCTTGCAGAAGAGTACAGGCGGTATGTATCGAAGCAAGAAGTCCTTCTCTGGTCTGGGAGACTAGCAACCAATCTTCAAGATAAGGGTAAATGTGAACACCTCTCAGTCGTAGAAAGGCACAGACAGGGGCCATGCACTTTGTAAAAACCCTTGGAGCGGTGGCCAGTCCAAAAGGCAACACCATGAATTTGAAAACTTGAGATGCAACAGCAAAACAGAGGAAACGCGTATGACATGGATGGATCGAAATGTGGAACTAGGCGTTCCTCAAGTCCAATGAGGTGAACCAGTTCTCTCTCCTCAGCAATGGTATGATGTTTTGAAGGGTGATCATCCTGAATTTTTTTGTTGTGATGAACTTATTGACGTTTCGTAAGTCCAATATTGGACGAAGACCACCGTCCCACTTCGGGACTGTAAAATATCTCGAATAGAATCTGTGAAGTCCTTCTGTTCGAGCTAATTGATGAATTGCTCCTTTACGGAGATGTTGAACTTCGTCTAGCAATGCTGGTGAGCATGGGGTAAACCAGATCCGTCTCGATGGAGGAACCATGTCGAATTCTATCTGATATCCATGCCGAATGATGGACAACACCCACCGATCAGATGTGATGGATTCCCAATTGGGGAGTCTGCCTTTCATCCGGTCCCCAAATGAGAGAGGAGTGGGTGGAGTAGGGAGGAGAGGAGAGGTTCACCCGTCCTGTCAACATTGTCTCCTGTCGCCCTCAAAACGACAACGGCCTTGTTGATAATGTTGCAGTGGTAGTTGTCTGCGGAGCTGTTGCTGTTGTTGTCGGTGCTGAGGTTGCTGTCTCAACTGGTACGGTTGCCGGTACAATGGACGGGTCCAAGACCACTTACATCGGCTTTGGGGCTGAAGTGCCATCCGCCAAGTCGTCATCCTGGACTCGTGGATCTTCTTGAGTTTGTGGTCGGTCCTGGAATGGAAGAACCCGGACCCGTCAAAGGGCATCTCCTCTATACGCCTCTTCATCTCCTCTAGAAAGTTGCAACTGCGCAACCACGCATGCCTCCGGAGGGAGACGGCACCGACCAGGGCCCTGGAGTCCATGTCCACGTTATGTCGGGCGGTGGCGAGCTGTTGGGACTGCGACCTGCATAGCCTCTTTCACAAAGACTTTCGCAAGGTCACCCTGGTTGTCCGGGAGAGCTGAGAGCACATTGTTGAGGCACTGCATTATAAAGTACTGGTATCGAGACAGTGTCGCCTCATAATTAGATATCCTCAAGCTGAGTCCGGAGGCCGCATAGACTCAGCGAGCTAGGAAGTCAATCTTTCTCCCTTCTTTGTCTCGGGGCACAGTGTGACCCCTTGATTCCCTGCCCTGGGAGGACTCCACCACGACTGAGTTCGGTTAAGGATGACGGAGGAGGAATGGAATGTCCTCCTGAATTCGGTACATGGCTTTGTACCTCCGAGAAGTTGGTTGAGGATGGGTGGGCAGGTCCCACGGCTGGGTCATAGCTTGCTGCAAGGTGGTAATAAGCAGCAATACTATCGATGTCAACTGCTCTCCATGAATGACATCGTAAAATTTGTCGGTACTGGGGCCGGGCCATTGTATGGCATCAATTTCCAGCGACTGGACCAGATGCGACATCAGCTCCGCGAAGGAGATGTGGGATTCGTTGGGGGACCCAGGGCCCTGGGAAGTCACCACGACATCTGGAGAAGTCGAGTCGACGTCGGAGTCGTCTGAATCAACCCCATAGTATGGGGGAGCAGTGGAGGAAGACTCTGCCGGCGACAGGGACCGACTGCTCTCCCTAGTTGGTATCACAGGAGCATGCCTTGGGACCAAAGATGTTGGGCGGTCTCAAGGAGCTGGTGGAGAGGAATGACCTCTAGGAGCCGGGGAATGCCCAACAGAATGGTAGTCCCCCCCATCCATGCTAGAATGAAGATTGAGGATGGTACCATTCGTCAGATCTTCTCTTGGACGAGCAGCTTCTCAGATTCCTAGGAGGAGACATCTCCGTCTCCAGTCTGGCTGGGGGCATAGGCGTGGGAGACCTAGCCCTGGGCGGGGAATCTCGAATTGCCCCATCGGAGATCAATTCCCTAAGTGGAGCTTGGAGAGGCTCCGTTGTTGGCTCGCCCACGCGCTGAGGGGACCCCGAAGGGGTAACCCTCATGGCCTCCTGAAGTGTCGGGCCCGATGGTGTCGGTACCGTGACAGCCACTGGGACCAAGGGCACCGATAAACCCAAGGCTCGGTGCTTTGAATGCTCAGGGTTCTTAGGTTTTCGGGGCGGCTTCATGACCTTATCTGTTTTGGCCTTCTTATAGTCAGACAGCTTGTTGGAACCGCTGTGCTTCCGCTTTTCACGCCTCTTCTTAGGCGAGGAAGCAGGCCGGGCGCCCATGGTGGACGCACTTTCATCTGAAGGGCGTGAGGGCGGAGCCAAGGAAGCAGAGGCCGGCAAAGCAGACAAGGCTGGACGAGTAGCCGCAGCTGCAGACAAAGCAGGGCAAGAAACTAGTGGGTCCGATTGGAGAAGAGCACGGTCCCACAAAAGCCTACGAAGACGGTTCTCACGGTTCTTCCTGGCCTGCTTCGAGAAGGTCAGACAATGGGTACATTTGTCCGTCCGATGCCCTTCTCCCAAGCAGAGGAGGCATTGGTCATGCGGGTCTGCTGGGGACATTTTAGACCTGCATTCCGCGCACTTGCGGAAAGCTGCTCATTGTGCCATTATTAGAAAAGAAAAAGAGAAGATAGTGCAGAGGGTAATAATATATTTCTGTTTTTGTTTTTTTTTTTTTTCCAGAAAGAAAGAAAGTGAATAAACAAGAGAACAACAAGAGAAACAACAGGAACTAGCGAAGAACGGGGGTTGTTAAATTTGGAAAGAAGAAAAATCGCAAAAGTTGAGGAGAACGAGAACGGTCAGAGTGAGAGCGAAAGCGGCACGAGGCACAATGAACGGCGGTCGCAAAGACTGGAAAGTGGCGGACACTCCACTCCATATATACTGCTGGGAGGAGGGGAGCGGAGTTTTCCTGCCAAACCGTTAGCTATCAATCTTCCGGCCATAGGCACTGCGCAGGCACAGTACCCATATGTGTGATGCACAGAGGCCACGAAGAACTATGGAATTAAGAAGTAAAATGGATTACTTGATGTATAATCAAGCCAGTCAACTTCCCAGTTTCTCTTTCAGTTGTTTTCCTTTAAGAAGTTTCATATATTTATACAGAACACTTAAGTGTGTAGAGTTCTTTCTGTTTCCAGTCTTAAATTGGTGTTCTTTTGTTGAAAATCAGAGGATGAAGGCAAAAAAGAATAAAAGGTAAGATAGTTTGTGCCAATTTTTTATATCAAATAATCCAAATATGTAGATTCCTGGGACAAAGGAAATCAGGATATTTTAAAGAACTAGTTGATGTGTAAGGAACAGAAGAGATGCTACACTGTTTTTATTTAAAAGAGTCTAATTCTAAGGAGACCCACACACATTGTGAGGTATGCTTTATTATTAGTAATACGTTATGTGTATGTGCTACAGTATGGCACCATATTAAATTTAGTATTCTGAATCCTCCCAGATGTATTAGTTGGTAAAGAGCATTGATCTTGAGTCTTGCTCTTTTACTTTGATATGTAAAATTATTCAATGTGTACTGCAATTTTTAAAATAATTTGGAATCAATGCTTACTGGGAAGACTTGAATAGAAAATTCAAAAGAAAAAGATAGTAATTTTCCCTGCTGCTGTACTATTCATCTTAATGTATCAAATTTTATTAAAGCATCATAATTCAGATTCTTTTGATGTTTTAGGTTTTTCTGATAGTAACTCTAAAATATTTTACATGTTCAGGAAACAATATCATTTTAGATTATTCATCTAAATATGAAGGGGGTTAATAATAATCCATTCTATTTATCATTGATTATCATCCCTTGACATTATTCCATAATTTCCTTAAAAGAAGCCGATCAAAATATTTTACCAGCAACTTCTAACATCACAGCAACATCTGCAAAGAGATTTATTTTGTGATCTAGCTTACTCCTTGAATTACATCATTTTATGGATTTGATAAGCAAAAAGCTCCATTAAAAGAGCAAAAAGCAGGGATGAAAGAGAACAACCCTGCTTTGTGCCCTTTTCTATATTGAATCTAGGTGTATCTCATCCAGTTAGTTTGATTGAAGCTTAACAATTTACATATAAATGTTTTAAACCAGAATAAATTTCTGTTTGGAGTCTAATTTTTGATGCCTTTCTTGATCTTTTAAGGTAAGCATACTCACTTATCAGATTTATAGCCCAGAAAGGTGGGAGATAAATTTAGTGTACTATTAATATTACTGCTAGTAATAATTTGTGAAAAAATCTTTATCAGGGCAGTATAAGGTTATTACAAAATCTTGTATTTAATATATCTACCATTTGGGTCCATCAACTGCTTTTTCATTAACAAAGCTATGTTTATTAGCAATCCAGATTCCTTTACCTCTAGCCTTAGAGGTGCCAAGGACCATATACCACTCACCTTGTATTCCTGGTATTAGTAGTTTTTAGTTTTTACTCTTTTGATGGGATTCCTGTATCATCACCATCATCATCATCAACACATTTATACCCCACCTTTCTTCCTCTTGCAAGGAATCAAAGGCTGGTTACAAGTTTTTCCTCCTCTCTATTTTATACTCACAACAACACTCTTGTGAGATAAGTTAGGCTGAGAGCCCATGACTGACTCAAAGTTACCCAGTGAGCATTACAGCTAAGTGGGAACTAGAACCAAATTCTCCCAACTCCTAGTCCAACACTCTAAGCACTACACCACACCTTTGCTTTGCTTTTTGCTTTTATTTCAATTATTCGAAGAATGCGTGCCCGTCATTTTTAACTATGGAACATGCATTTACATTAATTAAAAGAAAGAAAAATAAAGACTGAACAACATTAAAGCCATTGCCTCCTCACCCCATCTCATAGCTATTCTAGATGCACTAGATATCACAGTACTGAATTCAAATAGGGTCATACAGAAATATAGCACAAGGCAAGATGTCAGTTCACAGTGCCTGGGTAAGAGTCTATACTTCTAATATCAGTACAAGGAGGAGAAAAAAGAAACAGACAGTGTGTAATAATGGTTAGAGTCCTAGAATGGGACTCTGGAGAACTAGGTCCTAGCTCCCACTCAGTTATATAAAGCTCACTGGGTGACTTTAGGCTGGTAACTAACTCCCAACCTAACCTACTGTATGGAAATGTTTTGCAGATAAAACAGAAAGAAGGATTAGGTCAGCCCCCTTGTGTTCCTTAGAGCAAAAAGGCAGGTTATGAATAAATGAATAAATCAAAGTAAGTAAGGGCTCTTTCAGCTTTGGACTCCAAAAAGGAGTGGCAGCATATAGACATTTTTCCTTCCTATATTGTTCCTTTCTTAAGAGCTATTTTTGGTCAGCCTAATAGATGACAGATTCTCTCATAAGCACCTAGTTCACAAATTAGTCCAGTCCCTTCAGATTATGAGCAATTTTTTAGAACAGTAACATTTGAGTGAAAAATATGTAAAGCAGCCAGTTTTCAACAACTTCCTTACACGATATGAATTATTACACAAAAAATCTTACTTGGGTCAAATGGATGTGGCTGCAGACAATTCACCACATGGTTATCTGCTTCTAGAAGCATCAGGTGCTCAGCAGTATGCCGATCCCAGATGAAGATATGTCCACAATCTGATCCACTCATAACAAAGTTAGAACCCCAGAAATTGGCTTCTTTTATCTACAGGGAAAGTAAGCAAAAAAAATTCAAACACATTTTAATTATGATTACAATGAAAGGCTAAGGAACACGAGTGTGAAGATATTCATATATGACTTATGCATCATACAGACCGTGTAAATTTTAACACTTACCATTACATGAAGCTTTGGCTTGTCAGCCCTCTGGCTTGTCAGCCCTCATGTGGCTATGAGGAAGTGATTGGAAGCTTTCACTTCTATCTTTAAACACAGTTTAACACTATGTATAACCTGAACAAAGTGTGATTAACAATGGTTTACTGAAACAAGCAACTTGAACCGATGGTTTATGAAGTGAATTTGTCTCAATAAACCATACCCAAGACTAAACACTGTTTAATGTTTGGAACTAATTTTGAACTGCAGATGAAAACAGAAGCTTTCAGAATAAAATTCAATAGGGATGAATGCCAAGTTCTACACCTACAAAAAGGAAATCAACTGCACAATTACAAGATGGGGAATACATGGCTCAATTATACTACAGGCAAAATAGATCTTAGACTCATTGGGACTAGATGGGAAATAAATTAATATAATTGAATATAGGCCAGCAGTAAGAGCAGCATGGCAATGAAACCAATTACCTAGGGAGGCTGGGGGCTCTCTCCCACTGGAGACATTCAAGAGGCAGCTGCACAACCATCTGTCAGGGAGGCTTTTGCTTTAAGTACTATATTCCAGAGAGGATTGGACTCAGTGGTCTTATAGAGGCCCCTTCCAACTCTGCTATTTTATGATTGCATGATCACACTGCAAGTTCACAAGCCCTTTGCTCAGAAAAATAGTAAACCACAGCTGAATCTTATGTCTGAACCAGGACACAGTGTATGAAGACACACCTAATTCTCCAGGACTGTCATCCTTAAATTACAGCTTTCTGAAATGCAGATTGGGAATACAAATCAGACAAAGATAATGGCTGTGATAGTGTGTATACAAGCATACCTCCTTTTATCACACCTATTATATGTTATAGTACTTCACAATTGTTGCCCTTCCTGGATGCAATCCTGAGTCAGGCATGTATGTCTATCAGTTTCATTTTTCCAACAGGGATCTCTCACTTCATGTCTCTGTCTCATGTTTTGGTAATTTAATTCTTGCAAGTCTGTATTGTATTTCAAACTTTTTAATTATTGTACTGTAAATTTGTTATGGTTATCTGTGATATTTGATGTTACTGTGATCTTCTTAACTGTTTTGGGGTGTTGTGACTGCTCCACCAACCAAACTAAGCAGTTCCTCCAAGTCCCTCCTTCCCCTCAGGCTTCCCCATTCCCTGAGACATAATATGAGTGCAAATCAGACCAATTACTATAATGGCCCTACAATGGCCTGTAAGTGTTCAAGTGAGAGGAAGCTAGAAATGATTTAGTTTAGTGAGGAAGGCATGTCACATACCAAGATAAGCCAGAAGTTAGGGCTCTTGTGCCAAACAGCCAGCCAGCAATAACATCAAGTTATGTGATTCAAGTTATTCCTATATTCGATTTATTGCAGTGGACTGGAACCAAACCTGCAATATCTCTGAGTTGTATCTGTACATGTGTGTGTGCATGCATGCATGCATGCACACGCACACACACACAATTATGTTTAGAAAGAATACTAAGAAAGAAGGTGAGAATATAAATTTTACATAGTCATTACTACATCAAATAGTAAGAACACCAATTCAATCCATTTCAAGTTATAACACAAGTCAAAAGGGGGTGAGTAATTCTGCAAGGCCCTGTTTATACTGATCTGTAATGGGTGGGTTTCTTCAACATGCTAAGCCAACCTACAAACCAACCCTGGTGGACTGATTGCACATTCAATGAAGAATTCAGGACATACTACTCAATCCTCCCGCCAGTTCCTTTGTGGCAGAACACATTTTATCTCTTCACCCCAGCCCCTGGATAGCTAGCCTGTATCCAACAATAGAATTTGGTGATCTGTATGCAGATACTACTTCTTTCTGGAGCAGCTGGAGACTCAGGGAACTCCTGCAACAGTGCTGGGGGGTGGGGGGCACTGAGAAGTGTCAGTTGAACACTCAAACACAAGATCACTTTGTCAAGAGGAAGATATTGTACCCACCCTTTTGGTGCATTTACCCTTTCTCATCATTTTCAGTACTTCTGAACTTCAAACTGCACCTATACTGTAGATGCACTCAGGCCCACCTTTCAAAGACTGACAAAACTAGTAATTATAACCTCAACTTGTATTTATAACCTCAACAATGCTGAGGCACCATTTTTTAATGTGACAAACATATGATTGTTCTATTAAACTGCCACTTCAGCATCAATGGAAGGTAAGAGGAGCTAGAGCTAGCAATGCCAAGAGTAGTACAGATACTTTTTTCCCAGTCCTGGTAACCTACATTAAAACTGTTATCTCTGTTTGAGATATGTATGATCAATCGTATAACAATTGATAGGTTCACAGGATGGCTTGTTCATGAAAATTAAGCCAGTGAAAAATGTGCCAAGTTCCAATATGACAACTCACCACAGCTGGCTGTCCATGGCAAGTTGTTCTGTCATGTGAACTCAGTTATTCCGCAGGCCAAACAGCCTTAAAACAGTCATAATGTATTTATAACAGACACTATGCAGGTACTATACAAGGACTAGAATATTATCACTCATTTTTCTACTCAATTAGAGGGTTATTTTATACACAAGACAGTATGATGCTTTGAAACAAAACTTCTCAAAGAGTATTTTATAACCAGAACTGTATTATGTTGTGCATAAATCTTTTAATTATTCATCCAAAGGTTAGTATATCGCATATTTAGTGTGAACTAAAATACGACCTTAGCAACGATTAATATACCATTGTCCGGGAGTTCCGATGACCTTTATAAACCATTTTTATTAAAGGACGTCTAATATTCAAGGTTTCCAGTTCTTCCATTTCTTTTCTCTCTTTCCTTCGTCTGAAAAGTTCCTGGATGCGAGCGACAGCAGAACGTCTGTGGATTATGAACAGAAAGACCATTATTTTCAGAAAGTTATATAATCTGCTTTGCAGTTCTGTGTCCAGGTAGCTTGCTTAAATTTCATTGAAATTTTTGGGATTCAAGCAGTCTGTATATAGAGTTAAGAGAGCTCCAGACTACAAAGCACAACTTTTGCTTTGACAGATTATGAAGAAGTTGGTTCTAGCTCTCCTTCTAAAATACAGAAGAGGAGGAGAGTAGGAAGGCTTGAGCCAGCAGATACAGCCTATGCCAGTTTCCTTTTCAATATTACATGAGGTGCTTCTAGAAGAGTGATTAATACTTCATTGGCACCACCAGTCAAATATCAAACATAAGATGTTCAGAGCTTCTTTAAGTAAAGTTCTCACAATGTTAGCCATCCTAGCTTTATTAAAATTATTGTGATAAGCAAATGGAAATTGCAAATCCTTTGTACATTTTATGAAGAATAAGAGGTCGGATAATTTCCCTGGGATTGTAAACTTATGGCCCCCAGACAGCATCAAGAAGGATATAGAATACTTAGGATTCCCAGAACCGAGGTCAGACACTGCCCTATTGTTGAAACTGGAGCTCTGCACTCCAAGATCCCTACCTGCTTGCAGCTACTTTAGAAGGAACCATGGCAGCTGTTTGAGTTCAGAAAACTGAAAGGAAATTTTTGAGGGGCAGGGAAAAGAGAAGACTTGGGCCACTGGAATACAACGTATCCAGACAATGCTGTAGCCTTTTCCTCTCTCAAGTGCTGCAGTTAGATGGCCTCAAATACAGAGCAGGGGGACTAAGGATGCAGAAATCACCTCTGCCACTTTTTGCACTCTGCACTAGATGCTTGTAAGCCTCCAAGTTTGGAGGTTACTGAACATCAAAGGTTCACTCAACAGGACTTGTTTTCTACAAACGCAAAAGAAAATGAGGAAAATGAGGAAATGAGGGCAGGTTTAAGCAGATGAAGAATGCAAAACTGTTTCATTATAAATAAGTTTAGTTACAGTTGTGTATTTGGATTAATGAATGTTCCAAATCTTCATAGAAATGAAGGGATTTGAGTAATAATTTGAAAAAAAGCTGTTTCACAGAGGTATTCTAGAGGGCAGCCCAGTCATACAGGGCAGCATGAGAAAAAGGGTGGAGTCATTTAAGAAAGCAGAGATCAGTGGACAGCCAAGAATAGTAGGATGGGATGGCTGAAACTCGTGAGAATATATTTGAATACAATAAGTGAGAGAAAAGCCAAGGCTCATAGACTGTTTTAAAAGAAAGGGTGAAAACCATATGCAGACACCAGGCATGAACAAGCAGATAATGTAGAGATTTGAGCAGGGTCATCACATGGTCAGAGCAAACACAGAAGTGAATTATTCTGGCAGCCAAGAACTGGATAAATAAGAGCAAATGAAATGAAGTGCCAGTACACCACAGAAAACATTATAGTGGTTGAGGGAATTCAGAGGAATGCTGTAAAGAAAGCAGGGATGCGGGAGCTTATCCAGTGTATTACACTGAGTGCCACATGCTTGGCTATCTGCCAACTGGACAGATCAGGGGGCTGGAGGAGCTCCCCTATGAGTAGCTGCAACAACTGGGACTGTTCAGCTTACAAAAAATATATCGAAGGGGAGACACAATAGAAGTGTTCAAAATAATACACAGTGTAGAACAAATGTAAAGAGAAAAACATGTCTCCCTCTCCCATAACACTCAAACACTACATCATCCCATGAAACTCACTGGTGGGAGGTTTAGAACAGATAAAAGGAAATACTTATTCACATGGCATATAGTTTTATTTATATCTCACTTTTTTCTTAAAAGCAGCTTACATTATTCTCCTGATGCTCTCAATCTTATCCCAACAGCAGCAACTCTATGCGGTAGAGTGTCTGTGACCGGCCCTCTTAAGTCACCCAGTTGGTTCCATGGCAAAAGAGGGACTAGAACTCAGGTTGCCTAAGTCCCAATCTCACACTTTTAACCACAACAATACAATGGCTCTCAGAGTCTACCAGGGCTACGTTACACTGCTGGAGTCCTGGTGGACTCAGCTTCCATCTAACCACAAAGGGCGCAATTCAAATGCCTGAGATGATAGCATTCTAACTTAATGTAGAACTTGTATGTTAGAGTGCATGATCAAATTCTCATGTTTTTGTATGATCTAAGAGATACACTAACAGTTCCCAAAGCAGGTCTATGAATCTGGTGGCAGAAATGAATTACAAACTGAAGGAGGAGGATTGAAGTTTGAGATTAATAAACAAATGGTCAAAAAACACCTAATTTCTTTGAATGACTTCAAATCGGCAAGGCTTATGAACTGCATCCTTGAGTAATAAAGGATCTGGCAGAGGAACTCTCAAAACCAATCTTTGAGAAATCAAGGAAGATGGGTGAAGTACCAGATGACTGGAGGAGGATTAATGTTGTCCTTACCTTCAAAAAAAAAAGGCAAAAAGGAAGATCTTGGGAACTACAGATCAGTTATTCTGACATCAATCTCTGGGAAAATCCCGGTGCAGACAATAAAAAAGTCACATAAGCACTTTGAAGACAATGCAGTAATTACCAGGAACTAGCAGATTTATCAAGAACATATCATGGTCATATTGTTTGATCATGTAACCTCTCTTGTGTACTGTGGGAATGCTGTGGACATATCTTGATCTCAGTGAAGCTTTTGACCAAGTGCCTCATGACATTCAGATCAGGAAACTAGCTAAATGTGAGCTAGACAGAACAACCATCAGGTGGATCTACAGCTGACTACAGAATAGGACTCAAAGAATGCTTCTCGATGGCACCTTCTCTAGGGAGAGTTAATGAGCGGAGTACCACACAGCACAGTCCTGGGACCAGTGATCTTCAACATGTTCATTAATGACTTGGATGAGGAGGTTCAGAGAACACTGATCAGATCTGCAGATGACACAAAAGTGGGTGGGGTGCCTAATACTCTGGAAGACAAAAACAACTTTCAAAGTGATCTTGATAGGCTGGAGCACTAGGCTGAAAACAACAGAATGAAATTCAATAGGGATAAATGCCAATTTCTACACCTAGGATAAGGAAATCAAATGCACAGTTATAGGATGGAGGATAGTTGGCTCAACAATACAACAAGGAAGAAGGATCTTGGAACTGCTGTAGATCACAAGCTACCTATGAATCAATAATGCAATGTGGATGTAAAACATGGCAAATGCTATTTTGGGCTGCATTAACAGAGCAAAGCTTCCTAATCACATGAGGTACTGACTGATTCCCCTCTATTTGGCACTAGTTAGGTCATATTTTAAATAGTGCATCCAGTTCTTTGCATCACACTTCAAGAAAGATGTAGATAAGCTAGAGAGGTTCAGAGGAGATTACTAGGGGTGTAGAAACAAGGCCCTGTGAAGAGAGATTGAAAGAACTGGGCATGTTTAAGCCTGGAGAAGAGAAGACCGAGGGGAGATATGATAGCACTTTTCAAATACTTGAAAGATTGTCCAGCAGAAGAAGACCAGGATCTTTTCTCAATCATGCCAGAATGTAGGACATGGAATAATGGAGTCAAATTTCAGGAAGCCAAATTCTGGCTGGACGTCAGGACAAAACTTCCTGACAGTTAGAGCAGACCAATTACCTAGGGAGGCCATGGCTTTCCCTCATTGGAGACATTTAAGAGGCAGTTGCACAAGCATTTGCCAAGGATGCTTTAACTTGGGAGCCCTGCACTGAGCAGGGAAATGGACTTGATGGCCATTTTGATGGCCATCACAAGTGTCTTCCAACTCTACTATTATGTGATTCTATGAAAACTTCAACATTTGTAGATATGGACATACCAAGAGCAAAGATGATATAATGTACAATGAATCAAGAGGAAACTACTAATATCAATGCTATTTTTCACAATATTCTATTTAAATGTCATTCATACTGTTCATATTTTGTACATAGTTGATTTCATTTATTCAAATTCAGTGTATTTCTCATGCCAGTTTAATGTAATTTAGACTGCAATTTCAAACATCTACATGTATCTCATGCTCTTCATAAAGGCGATGTTGTACTGTATTGTGCGTGTTCCATAAGGTTTGTTTAGAAGGGTCAAAAGGTGTAAGTGCAAGTTTATTCTTTCAAGATCACATGCTGCTCAGTACTCCAGAGGACTGGTCTACAATTTGGCAATTGTATTTAGGAACTGTAGTTTGCAATTGGCCTTGGACATCTTACAAGTGACTATCAAGCTAACGTTCACAACCTACCTATTAATAAAGCATTTTTTCTTTATTTGCCTGGAGGATGCATATAGATAAGCTCATCCTTCCTGGACCTGTTCAGTACGTTGATATTTCATTATACAGTGCAGGTGTAGCTTTACTAAGCACTTTTGTTTGACACTTAAAATGTATATTGTAGCCACGATGCAAAAAGGCACATGCTTATAGTTTCCATACACACTTTGAGGATACCCAGAAATTCTAAAACACTATCAATTTTCCAGAGATTAAGATGTGGCATGGACATTAGGTGAGAGAGCAGTTTCAATGGAAATCTTAAGAAAATTGTGCTTTTTGAAACTTTGAAGACTGGGGCTCATCTTCTAAAAAATGAATTCAGGAGGGGGGAACGAAGGTGCATGCAGATAGTGTCCATATACTCATTTGGGTCTCAGCTCATGATATTTACTGTTAAGACTTATCTTTAATTCTGTCCACTGATAGTGTTGAAAAATATAGTTAGTAATGGGTGCAACTCAATCAATGCAAATTATTTCACACAGTATTTGCTATTCTGTTAATCAGTAAACATAAGCAGTAGCACATGCAAACACAATGTGTGCTTTAACAAGAGAGATTAAAAGAGTGGGGCATTACTTTCACTGTACATTTTTTACACATTCATATTTAATTAATACACCCAACAGATTAATAAAGTTATTCAAACTTTACACCACTATTTCCTCTCTGGCCACAACATGCAGCTAATATCACTGTGCTGCAAACCTCTCTATATGAGGTTTAGTAGATTTAAACTGGTAAATGTAACCAGTAAAAAGGTGGTTAAATATTGCACCAATTACATAATAAATCAGAACTCTATATGGAATGGGACTTTGAATTACCTCATTATCCTATCACCTATTGCTGTTCCTCTGATATATCTAGTGAAAGGAATAACAACTAAAGTCATTCAAATAAAAATCATGTATATACTGTTTTAAAAGAAACAGTACTATATCCTAATCCAAGTTTAACCATATGATTTTGATGTTTATCATTTTCTAAGTATTTGAGCAAATAAAGCACTTAGTCATTGTTTTCTGAACCATTTGTGTATCTGCTGTATACCAAGTATCACTTTCACCACTAAGCCTGTCAAAAGCAACCATTTTATTTGTCGAGTGCATAAATCACCTTAGTACTCCAGTATTTAACTGCATACATTTCACAGTCACAAAATATTTATTAACTATGGGCTGCATCCTTTGCTGCTACTGCATTCCTAATATTTCCGTTATACCAGAGGACCCACTACTACTGCTTCCTAAAGCAACCTCAGCAATTAGTAGAAACACTTGCTTTGATAATGGGAAAGGATGGCTGATCTCCATTCTGTGAGATCTGTTGACCTTCTCCATTTGAGAAATGCACGTTTCAGCTAATTTCCATTTGCTTAAGGATTTGCTAGCTTTCCATTGAGCTAATGATGTGTCACACTAGTACATGTGCTGTAATGAATAAGTGACCATAACCTATTCAGCCCAGTAAGTCACCATAAGTAATATAAATGTTCAAAACCTGCTGTTCCCAAATATAAAAATACATGAAAAACGTTTTTATGTTTGCATTTTGTAGGTCACAATGTACAAAAGGAGCCATCTTCATAAAGCAGTAACCTACCTTACTATAGAAGTAATCTATCTACTGGCTCTGCAGATGAAGAGTCCGCAGCTTAAAAGAATGGCTGCTTATATGGACTGGCACTGTTACCATCAGCCAATTCTTGAATCTATCGCTCAGCTTCTTTTGTTCTTCACATGGCCCTCAAGGGCAGACCTGGAACCTGGGCTGTGCTATCAACATGTCAGTGGCAGAGAAATTTGCCAAACAGACATCCATACATATCCAATACATAATATCATTGTGATGGATTTTACCTGTCAGAGGCAACTTCAAATGCCAATCCTGGCTGACCAGTAAACCACAAATACAATGTAAACATGAGAATTCATGAGACATAAAATCCTAGCACACTCAGAAGGAGTAAGCTGTTCTGAATTATTCCTTGGTAACCATGCACAGAATTGTATACTTGGGTTATCATTTTCATCTAGGCCACGAGTGGTGAATGCAAGATAAAATGCAACTCCTATCAGCCCTAGGCAGCATACCAAATGGTGAAGGATCAGAGGAATTGCAGGTGCCCAACATTTGAAAGATTATATGTTACACGTCCTTGATTTAAGCAAATAAAAATATTTTTACTCAGATGATTAGCAGAATTTTCCCAGCCGATAAATTATAAACATACTATATAAACAGTTAAGCAATACAGTCTTCTAACATTAGCCAGCTATATTTCAGGCCTACAATTCTGTGCATTATCCTTATTCACTAAAGCAAATGCAAGCCAATCTGGTACACCCACATATTCCTCACTAACATTAAAAAGGAATAAGATTTCATCATGACTACTGCAGAAAGATGCATGCAGTCTCATTCTAAACTTTTAATGCATTAAGTAGGTAAAATGGATTAGAAAGATAGGGAACATTATTGGAATATTACCTATTTTCCTGCAGAAATGTTTTAAGAGCTGACAATTATTTATCCCAAAACCTGTATCCCAATTTGCTTTAATCTATTTTTTATTTTTGCAGAATGCTTAGTAATATGACAATCACAGAGCTAGAGAACAATTATGATCCAATTAGAAAAAAAGAAAGAGAAAGGGAGACAGGGAACCCATACACCTTGGCAATAATCATACAAAAATAAAAATACATGCATGTTTGCTGGATGAGGTTCTATCAGAATTCTGAGCCACTAAAGCATATACATTTTTATTTATTTATGGTTCCAAGTCTTTAGGAAGCTATTTGGACTTTGTTAAGAAAAGTTCCTTATATATGCTCCTCGTGAAGAATAGTAATAATATACATGGAGGGCACATTTACAACACAAATATGTATGTGTAAGTCCCACTGAATTCAATTACATTCCCAGATAAGCATTTATAGGATTATAGCCTTAAGTATGCAGAGTCCAAGCAATGTAAGGATCATCACACTGTGCAACAAAATGTGAGGAAGAAGTACACAAATCTAGCTCAGAATATAAAAATACTATCTTCAAGCAAAGGCGATGCATTGAGGCAGAATGCAAATACCCAGCCATAACCGAAGACCCTACAAAATTTTAGCAGTGAAATGAAGGAATGATCAGTCATGCCTATGGTGTATGCGAACTTCCAGCAAAACAGTTATGGAGGTTTGAATGACCATGCTTTTAAGTTTTTCAATTTTCTCCTCAAAGCGATCAAATATTTGGGAGTTGGGGGAGAGAATACTACAGTACTAACCTATGACCTACTCCTCCACGATACCGTGCACCAGGTATCAGGACAGGGTCATCATCACTATCATCAGTTTCTTGGAAAGCAGAACTCCTTGTGGATGATTCTTCATGAGAAGCAAGCCTTGAGGAATCTGGTTGGGGCTGAGGTTCATGATCTGTATTATCTGGGTTGGCAGTGGATTCTGTACTTTGCTGACTCAAAATTTCTTGTTCTTCTGTGCCTTTGCTTGATAAATCTTCCCCTGGAATCTGGCAGGATAAGTCAAGGTGAGGATCATTTCCTTGTTCCATACTACTTTCAGGTTGGTCAGATACATCATTTTCTGATAGAACAAATAATGACATTTGGTCAATTACCATGCACAACATTGTATATGTTTGAGAATGTTATTAAAAACTTTAAAGGGTGAGGAGAAGCATTAAATAGCAATGACCTGTTTGTGTAGACACAGCTATAAATTTTCCTGAAAAAGAAGCACTTGAGTATGCTTTAGTCATAGCTGATTTCCACAATATACTGAATCCAAAGTGGTTCACAGAATAAACCATTTAAATATACTAGCTACGATAAATACTACAGTAAAATTTTGACAATGTAATAACATTTCATTTTAAACTGGCAAATATTTATGAGAACAAAACATACAAACAGATCAATTAATAATATCAAGTTCCAATAAAATGAATATTAATGAATATCCACATTAAGCAAAATATTCAGCAGTTCATATGAGGACCAAATTTAGAATTCCTTATGTATGTACGTATTAATTTTACATACCTGAATGTGGTGTTACAAAATTTTCATTTGTAGATGCTATCTCTTCAACAGTTGTATTTTCTTCAGGTGACTCTTCAGGAATTCCTAAAAACCAATTTTTAAAATATTATATTAATACCATAGGTGAGCACCAACCATAGCTGAAGTTTGCTACTATGTATTGTAATCATTAATATGATAAGGCTTTAGTTAGCCTTCTAGGTTGGTATACTATATATGGTAAGTGTCTATACTTTATATGGACACTGTAAAACATGATGCTTTATAGATACATTCAATATACTAATCAGGCTAAGGCTTACATACACTTCTGAGGAAAGAAAAAAGTATTTTGATTATAATTTTTAGCTGAATATTCCCACTTATCCTTATCATATTAACAAGTCACATTCTATGAATGATTATTAATTATCTTCAAGTGTGACAATAAAAGACTCAAGAAATACTACCACCTTATTTCCATTTCCATAAATTTTATTATATGATTTCCCTTTTTGACAGCTTTGCCAAGAGTATTTCACACATATCATGACCTTTGAAAACTTAAACTGTTCGAATAAAAGAAATTGGCATAATATTATTTATTCAAAACATAGAAGCATAGAAACAGAGCGAGTTGGAAGGGGTCTCCCGGGCCATCTAGTCTGACCCCCGGCTCCAGCTGGCTCTGCTCACGACAGGCCCACCATGGGCATGTCCAGCCAATCTTTGAACACCTTCACCGATGGAGCCTCCCATGGAAGCCCATTCCATACCCTTGGGGTCCTAACTGTCAGGAAGTGCTTCCTGGCATTTAAATGGAACCTTGGTTCCCCTGAGCTTTGCTCCATTGGAGCACGTCCTGCCTTCCTCTGCAGGGAAGAGCAGGTCTCTACCCATCTCCATGTGACATCCCCTCACATACCTGTATGTTGCCAACAGATCCCCTCTGAGTCTCCTCTTCTCCAGGCTGAAGAGACCCAGTTCCCTCAGTCTCGCCTCATACCCCATCCCCTGCAAACCGGCCACCAAACTTGTGGCCCTACACTGCACTAACTCTAACCTGGCTATATCCTTCCTGTAACGAGGGGCCCAAAACTGAACACAATACTCCAGTTGCAGGCGCACCAGAGTCGTATAGAGTGGGAGTAATACCTCTCTCGATCTAGAACCCACACTTCTGGCTATGCAACTGAGGGTGACGTTTGCCCTCTTAACCACCACATCGCACTGCTGACTCATGTTTAGCCTGCAGTCAACCAGTACCCCTAAGTCCCTCTCACAAGTGCTCCTCTCCAGCCACTTGTCCCCTAACCTGTACATATGACACCTATTCCTATGCCTCAAGTGCAAGACCTTCTACTTATCCACATTGAACGCCATCCTGTTGTCTCTTGCCCACTTCCATAGTCTGTCCAGATCCTTTTGGATCTGGAGTACCTGCTCCTCAGTTGTGGGCACTGCTCCAGTTTTAGTATTGTCTGCAAATTTGATCAGCAGACTGTTCACCCCTTCTTCCATGTCATTGATGAAAAGATTAAACAGGATCAGCCCCAGGACAGAGCCCTGGGGGATGCCGCTTGTCACTGGCCGCCATCCCGATGATTCCCCACTAATGGTTACCCTCTGCTTTCGGTCAGCATCCCTAATCCACAGGACAGTGCTTTGGTGTATCCCAAAACTTATCAGTTTCTCCACCAGGATATCATAGGGCACTTTGTCAAAGGCCTTGCTGAAATCCAGGTAAACCACATTCATTGCATCCCCTCCATCTCGCCATCTCAAAACTTTGTCACAGAATTCCACAAGGTTTGTCTGGCAGGACCTGTTTTTGCAGAAGCCATGTTGTGTGGCTGTCAGCCTCCCTCCCTTCCTCAGCATCACTAGATCTCTCGCTGTTATGAGCCTTTCCATTGTTTTTCCTACAATGGACGTAATGCTAACAGGTCTGTAATTCTCCATGTCCCTTCTACTCCCCTTTTTGAAAATTGGGACCACTGATGCCACCCTCCAGTCCTCTGGAACTTCACCTGTTCTCCACGAAGCCTCACAAATGGAGGCCAGCGGGTGTGACAGAACCCCTGCCAACTCTCTAAGTACTCTCGGGTGTATCCCGTCAGGACCTGGTGCCTTTGTAATGTCCAATGCCCTGAGGAGCCTCTCAACTTCAAGCAGGGTGACTCTAATCTGTGCCCCTAAGTCCCTGGCCTCATCTAATCTCCTATGCGGATCTCCCCCATCCAGCTCTGGGGAGAACACAGAGGCAAAACAGTCATTTAGCATCTGTGCCTGTTCCCTCATATCAGTCACTGGATCGCCTTCCTCCTTATTTAGTGGTCCCACCACTTGTCTCCCCTTCCTCTTCCTATTTATATGCTGAAAGCCCTTTTTGTTGCTCTTGATATTCTTGGCAAGTCTCAGCTTGTAATCAGCCTTAGCCTTGAGAATAATCCTTCTGCAACGGGCCTCCTCCTCCCGATATACCTTTTTGTCTATTTGCCCCAGTACCCATTTCCTACGGAGGTTCCTCTTTCGCCTAATCCCTCTAACCACCTCCTTTCGCATCCATGGCGGCACTCTCCTCCGCCTCCCCACCTTACCAACTAGCGGTATCGTCAAGGCTTGCACCTCCAAAACCTCCCTTTTGAGTGCCATCCACCCCTCCTCAACTCACTTACCTTCCAGTAACCTATCCCAGGAAACTTTCCCCAGTTTGACCTTCAGTTGGCCAAAGTTGGCCCTCTTGATGTCCCAGCTTCCAGTGCTTGACCTGCTGCACGTTCTCAGTCCCCTGATCTCAAAGCAAAGGATGGAGTGATCACTCGCATCCAGAGCTCCCCTAATCTGTACTTCATCTATCAGCTCCTCCCTATTGGTCAAGACCAAGTCAAGGATGTTTCCCCCTCTCGTCGCCTCTCGGACCCTCTGTGTGGAAAAACCCTCCCTCTATAGCTTCTAGGAAGCAACGTGACCTGGCTGTCACCGCCGAGTGAGTCTCCCAACTAATATGCCGGAGATTGAAACCTCCCATAATTACTGTGTCTCTCCCCCGAGATATCCTTAGAATCTGGTCTGTCAGGACATCATCCAGGGTCTCAAGTTGACCCGGAGAGCGATAATATACCCCCACTGTCAGGTCTCTTTCCCTGTCAAAACCCCTAAGTTTCACCTGGACTGCCTCTACCGAATCCTCATCTGTGCTACATTCTATCTCACTGCATCCTATCCCTTCCTTGACATATAAAGCCACACCCCCACCCCTCTTTCCCTTCCTGTCCTTTCTAAAAAGGTGATACCCCTCTATGTTCACATTCCAGTCTTGCCTTTCATCCCACCAAGTTTCTGTGATTCCCACCAGGTCATACCCTCCTATTCCCAGGAGAGCTTCAAGCTCTTCCTGCTTATTACCCATGCTCCTAGCATTGGTGTACATGCACCTCAACTCCTTCCCACCGCTTCCTTTCCTTGGAGTCCCCAGCCTCCTCCTTCCTCCCATCCTCCCTGATACCTGGTCCCTCTCTGTAAAAATAAAAAAGCCTAATATTTATGTTTATATTTGTAGGGTGCAATCTTATGGAGATGTCTCCAAACCTGAGCTTGGAGACTTACATATTTCCACTGCAGAGTAGGAGAAGCAGTGGAGATGAATTTCACCTACTGATTCTTCTGGTTCTGCATTTTTTGATTAGATGGCTGCATAAAGATAGCACTCAGAGGGAAGGAAGGAGATTGGAGTGCTGTCAGGACAGTTCCTATCCCGGCTGCTCCAGTCTCCTTCCACTTTTCCTCCCTTCTTGTGTCCTTCAACCCATCTCCAGGGTAATTTTTCCAACCTCAAAAAGCAGCCAGCTTGGCTCTTTCCATGTTGGCTATGATGGGGTGGGGACTCAAGCTCTGATCCCCAGTACTGAGGTTAGAGCATGGTCTTCAACACTGGATCTACGAATTCAGACTACCCCATGGAGATCCCAGATGATGTCTAGAGTCCATCAGATCATTTGCAAATGCTCTCATTTCATACATCTACTTGTATAGATTTCCATACAAGATTTTAAAGCTAACAAAGAACTGTGAAACAAATTTGATAAACATAAGAGTATGTTTGATTTATTTTTCCTCAAACAGTAACCCCCAATGGAAGATTATTTTTGAAACTGAGAATGTTTTTCTTTATTACATACTGGTTTTAAAATCAAAGTCAATAACTGCATTAGCACGAGACCACTACGTGAGCTTAAATAGTTCTGTGGTTCCAGCCTGAATGTTTACAGTTATTTTCCACACCCAAGACCAGTGCTTTTTTTGTAAGAAAAAAGGTGCCAGAACTCATGAAATTATTTACCTTGCACATGTAGTCAATCACTGTACACACACCCACACACGTCAGTTGTGTAACGAAACATAACGGTTGCTGCCTGCAGTAAGCACTCAGCGCGCGACCACATGACCAATCACAAGCCGAGCAGTGACACAAGCCGAGCAGTGCCATCACAATCAGCGCAGATGAAGTAGGCATGCATCAGACTTGACACACAACCAGCCTGCATATACCGATTTAATGATTTTGCCGCCAACCTGCTATGCTCGACAGGGCGATTCAAATCCATGTGGACCAAACATCAAATTTTCAAAAATTACTTTTAAAACTTGGAAAATCTGTCGAAAAAAGGTGCCGGAACACTGTTCCAGTGCATTCTATGACAAAAAAAAGCACTGTCCAAGACCAACACAAATATTGGTTTTTCAGACCAAAAATCTTATTTTGTACCTAGTAAATGAACAAATGTTTTGGAGTTCAATAAGAATCAAAACCACCACAGCCACCACTATAAAGGTCGTGCCATATTGGCAGTAACTTCATATCTTACGTGATTCTTCATTATCTTGTATTGATGCCTCTGAACTTTGGGTTCTTAGAGATTCTTCCTGGCCTTCAGGTTTACTATGATTGCCATTCCCTCTAGAACTTGAAGCTGTGCTACTCCTAGCAACAAAAACAAGCAGCAAAGACATATATTTACCAACTTTTTACCCTACCCTTCAAAAATATTCCAAAATTTTAGCCAAAAAGTAACTATAACACACACTGAACTAACATTAATAAAATTAACAGATTGGCAGATAACAGTGAGGCATAAAAGAACAGCAGGGATAAAGATTCACAATTGAAGAGCCTAGAAAAACAAGAAGTGCCAAAATTACAGCAGAGTGGGAATCTAGAACGAGCATTCCATAGATGCAGGCACTTCCAGATATACAAAGAAGACCCTTCTTGGTCTCAACCCTCAGTATATCTGATGCAGAAGACATACTTTTGGAAGGCCTCTGAAGATTATGTCAGAATAAGGGCATATTCATCAGGAGATAGAGAATTCTTTAAGTACTACAAGTCAAGGAAGGACTTTGATGGTGACAGTATTTTAAATTGGACTTAGAAATAAAGTAGAAGTCACAATTGCCTTGGAATAAGTCCCATTGACAGTGGATTATTCTTCTGAGTAAACCGAAATTAATTGCATTGTAAGACCTATATTTATAAACTAAAATAGACATTTGCATTTTATCAGTGTTTATAGCCTCTGCTGCTCAAAAGTGTTTATTCGTTTTCTCTATATTTCCAATCCACATTAAAATATAGAAAAATATCTTTGCTTATAAGCCTCAGGAAAACAGATTTCAGACAACTGCTTTTGTATTTTAACAAAACTTACAATCTCAGTAACTACAATCACACACACAAACACATATAAAGTACTTTTCACATTCTCTTAGCATAACTCCTTCAATATTTTTAAAAGATTTTGTGCATGGAATTTATCTACTTTTCTGCATGATGCATAGTTATTCCTTCAGTTGAATACACCAATGCTATCGAAGCAACAATACAAGCAATTCTATCAAAGCAACAATTAAAAAGCTAAAATCGTTAATACAATTGAAATTCTTAACACATCGCTTAAGCTCTTACCATTCATCAGTGAAGTCCAATTTGATCGTGCTTGTAGTTGTGCCTTCTGTACTGTAATGCAAGCTTAAAACTGGTTCACCTGTCCCAGTCCGCTGATTTGCCTTTTCATCATCTGAAAACAAAATGTTGGCAAGTATGAACATGCCACATTATATAGAGATATTATAAATATTAAAGCAGTTATGCTCATCTCAGCAATCAGAACTTTTAAAGCATTGTTTTAGCAAATTCTTAATGCTGTCACCATTTTATTGGTTTAACCCATTAAATCGGGTCTCAAACCGCGGCCCGTGGGCAAATTGCCAGGACAGGTGGGGCACAGGGGAGGGACCCTGCAGCCTTCAAAGTGCCGGCGGCACCCGGGCTGGCCGCAGAATGAGCGGCCCATCACCACCATGGTGGTGGAATACTTGATGCTGTCCAGCCATACCCAGACTCTACTTCCAGCAGCCCCCTGGTAAGTTGAGTCTGAGACCCCTGCATTAAATCATTTAAAATGTTCATATTGATTATACAAAAAGACAGAACAGCTCCTGGGCCAACTGTTGGATACAACTGAATTTTCGTATTATTAACTTACATTTTAAAAAGTTACAAGCAAACAACAGTAGAGACTTGATCAAATGTATGAAGATGGGGTACAGAAGAGAAAAAAAATGTTTTCAAAGAGGAAAAGAAATAAATATCAAAAATGGAGGGTGGTAGGGCCCTGGAATATGTCATAGCCCAAGACTGTCTCCAAATTTATTGATGTGAAAGTCTTCAGATACTAAATTAGTCATAACTTGCAGCTAACCTCCAGCTAAGCATATTGCCTAGTATATCTTTTCAAGGTTTTCTATGACTACTCCTGTTCCTAGGTCAAGGCTAAAATACTTAGTCCAGCTCTTCTCCCCTCAACTCCCACTCTTCCCCAAAGTATATCTCCTGTCTATCCTTTTCTTTCACACTGAAAAGATTAGGAGGGCAGAAATGGTTTTTTTCTGTGGTAGTGCCCTGGCTTTGCAATTGTTCCCCAGAGAGGTGTGGCTGGCACTGATGCTTATTTTTTTCCAGCCCCAGGCGAAAACCTTTTAATTTACCCAGTACTTTAAAGGTTGATGGTTTATTAAATTTTAGGGTTTTTAGAATTTTACTGCATATTCTTATATTGTATTTCAATGTGCTGTTATTGGTTTGTGAGCTATTTTGAGACCCATTTCAGGTAAAGACAGGGTAGATATGTTTAAATAAATAAATGGTCAGTGGAAAAATGTAGCTTAGAGCCATAATTAGACACTTATCAGGTTTAACCTCTGTAACCAGAAACTTCTGTAGTACTCTGGTTGGATAATACATCAGAAAGGACTTTTTCCATGGTATTTTTTCTATTCAGATTAGGGAACAAAATGTAGAATATGTAACAAGATGGAATTATTTTCAGGCAAAAGCTGAGCTCCAGAAAGTTGTGTTCTATAGCATTTGGAGATTTTTCTAGATCCTAGTTCCCCACTATTTGAACCCCACTGAAGGTCAAAGGACAATCCAGGATCATATGTGATATCACTGTGGGGGATGCAGCAAGTAGGAAGAAATACAAAATGTATTTTCCCTTCACATGCAAGGTCCTTCAGATCCTAGGAGACTACCTTTAAAGCTTTGCTTTTGATAGATGAGTTATATGAAGCTTTAAAAAAACATATCAGAACATTAATTTATGGATGTTTTAACTTACTAGAAAGGGAACATCACTTCCAATGTCATATAACTATAATCAGTCATTTTCTGTTGCCAAGCATATATATGCTTAAACAAGTGAAAAGATAATGACAACTAGTTCATACATCACCATAGAAAATCGTGGATTAAAGGAAAAGGGAGTGGTTGGTTCACTAAAAAGTTTAAGAGAGGTTACACCTTTGAGGTTCTTGAAGGAAAGGAACAACTTCCCTTTGTTATTAAAAAAAACTTTGTGTATCATTAGTTTGTAGATCTTAGAAATAGTATCCTATCTTATGCAAACAAAAATGACACCAGCCCTTTTTCGCCTACTAGCATATTATTCACTCATTTTGCTTTGCTATACAACTCTAAATTGTTCTTAGGACAATTACTACCTAATTAATCATCTTATACCATAAGCATAGTTGGTTTTTAGCTTTATACCTGTCATGATTTTTTTAATTGGCTGTACATGCCTAGCTACTGGGTTTATTAATTTGGTCACTAAGGCCCAAGCGCAGATAATGACATGAGGATCAAAATTAATATTTTTTGCTATACTACAGATACAGTGAAATATAACTGAAAGGGGTCTGGTCTTTAGTGATCCATCAAATTCACTCTTATAGAAAAACAGCTCTGCGTATTTTCAGAAAACCTTCCACTTAACATTATGGTTAAATTCAGGTGTCATGCTAACCACGCTTTGCATGGTTCAGAAGTCAAATTATGGTTAGCCTACCAAACCTAAATGAAAGTTATTGTTTATGCCCATTTTCTCTACTTCTCTTTGCCAAAAGTCTCTAGATGTTATCCTAAACAATTCTCCTTTGTCTCACTACTGACAAAGTAATACCATATGTACTATCCTGATAGTACCAATATTGCCAAGGATGGGTTTACTTGAAAACTTCAGGTTGCTTTTGACTGTACCAATTGGTCAACACATTTTGCCTCATCCTGTTTCCTTCTGCAGCATTCCTCTCCCTGTTCTGCAATTATTTCTGTTTCCATTATTAATCCAGCCCTGAAAATGTTTTGTTGCTCTATTGTTCCATCTCATGCTGGTCGGAACCACTGAAGGTTGCAATTTATTGAGTGTATGTTCCCTTAACTTGCCTTCCACAAATGTCATGCTTACTGTATTTTGTTGCAAATTGTGTGGAATTTACACAGCACAAAACTGCTGTTAAAGACGTATTTCATTAATATAAAGGGGCTGAATCAGTCAGATGTGTTCTGGAATATGGGAGATCATGGGTGGGGGCTGAATCAACCAATAAAGGTTATATGAAGGTATGCTTTGATATCTCTGCCGCTGTAAAGTTTGTTTGGTAATTATCCAAAGCATATGTGATGGTCTGTCCACATATCTGACTCATTTACTTATACAGCAGGATAGTAGATTCTTTATGTGAAAAGAAGTGTATGTGAAAGCCAGTAAAACGTGCCCACCTTACTTTGCTGCACTCTGCAAGCCCAGCTCCATTACCAGAAGTGGGTCTGGAGGAAATTGCATAAAGCAAAGTGCAAAAAATAAGGTGGGAGAAGAAGAACCATGTGCACTTCTTCTCATGTAAAAAGTATATCCTCCCCAGTTTTACATGTTTATAGGGCATGGATATGGATAAAATACACATGGCTATCCCTCCTCTCTAGTTTGGCTCTGACTGCTTTAGTAATCCTGCCTTCTATTGTTTTTAAAACTGTACCTGCACCACATTGCCAGCCTGAAACTTGCCTGGAACCCTAACTCTTTCTTGTGAAGGATTAAAACAGATTCCAAAACAATCCTCTCATTCTTTGTTTCTGGTTATGAATTTCAGCAAAAGTACTTACTCAATACCTTTGCTTCTCTTTCTGCAAAACTAGGTCCGATATTCTAAGAGTATTGAGGATCAAATGAACACCAAATGCATATTGATTTTTCTTCCACAGTAGGACATAGTTCAAGTTAACTAAATCCAACAGTGTACAAACATGATTTACACTCAGTTCTTTAAATTATACTTTAAATGTTGCTTAGCAAGAAACATGAATAGTTAAAATTGTGCAAACACAGAACTATGAAAAAACAATTCCAAAATAAAGTAATAAATAAAGCTGTGACCCTAAGCATGCTTCCAAGGAAATTAATCTCACAGAATTCGGGGGGGGGGGCTACTTCTGAGTATACACTTAGAATCTCATTTCATGGCTATTACATATGTTTCTAATATAAGGTTTCATGCACAATGGGTTGTAGAGCAAGCCTTGAATTCACAGACCTCCCGTTATACAAAGAATGTTTATAGATGACTAGGTGACTTTGGACTAGTCATGGACTCTCAGTCCAACTTACCACACAGACTGGTTGCTGTGAAGCTAAGATTGAGAGGAGAAAGTACCCTTGAGTTCCTTGGAAGGAATAAAGGCATAATATAAATAAATTTAGAGCATCGGGAACAGATGGAGTCATACTTAGTGTAAACCCACTGAAATCAATGGCCTTAAATTAGGTATTACTAAGTCCAATTCACTGCAATGTGTAAACTGTGAATATTACTAAATCTGGATCCAAACCCTATGTAAAAAACATTATCAACCAGGCCTTGTTCAAGTCATCTGTCCAGCTCTACAGCATACATTTATGAACAGAGTTGACCTGCACAGGTTTTCAAGCATTTAGCTTTTTAACTTTATGCTACAAGTTCTTCATATGGTATAGGACATGCTGTAGCAGTCTATGAACCAGATCTCTGCTGTTTGTTTCTAATATGAAGAGATACATAGATCGAGTGGCATTTTCTTTCTTAAGGTAATTGCAAACAAGTCATTATGCTGTAAATACACCCTATTTGAAGAGAGCAGCCACATCAACTACTAACAGTGCCAAAGCCCTCTTTCTAATGCATCTAAACTTCTAATACACCAGATAAAGTTTCCTCAGTAGAAATGATGTGAGAATGCATTTGAGAATTATGAGTTTGATCAAAATTTTTGTTGACTCATTTCAAAATGTAATTCGTCTCATTGTGTCCTACAATATCACTACCTATCCTAAACTGCGTTGCATATCACAGCAAAAAATAACTAGAAGCCAAGATACTCATACTCATATAGTTATAAATACAGATGGCAAAAATATTTATAGCTAGGGGCTTTTTAGTCCTGGAACACAAAACTTCCTTTTATGTTGCATTATTACAAAATAACACAGAACAAATATGCTCCACAAGGATCTATGAAAACCATGCACTGCTCCATCTGTGGAAAAGCCATTGTTTGGTCGACCTGAAAGAGCTAATTAAAATACTAACTTCATTGCAAGTAACACAGTTTACCTTCTCTAGGGAAGTTGCAAATACTGTAAGAAGAGCAAAGTGTGGGAGTTCCACTACCGGAAACAGTTTAAAAACCAGTGTAAACACTGATGAATGCTAATGAACTCTCTATCAGTTTGGAGTAGAAGTCCCTTAATTCTAGTATAATGGAGCAGTCAATCTTTTTAACTAGATGTTATTCATACAAAAAGTATAATTAAAAATATTAAGAATGTAAAGAATGATGCAGCCAAATATTAGTTACTCCATAACAGTGTGATGATAAACACCACCAAAGCAAAGAAAAGCAAGCAGCAACTGCATTCTCTGTTTTATTCTCAAGGGGAAGCATCTGAGCAAACAGCAGCAACAAACTATGTAACTACACCAGCTGCTTAATAAACCTTGACAAATGACAACCTGTAGGCTGAGGGTCCTGTGAGGAGCCCTTAGGGGAAGACTGATCAGAGCTGGAGGACTGTTGTGCTGAACCCTCAGCTAGCTCTCGCTGTCTCTGCTGTTCAGCCTTCTTAAGCCTCAGCCGCTGCAGGCCCCTACGGAGTATAGCTAACTCAGGCGCCATTAATTCTAACAGACAGGAAAAGAGGGTGTAAAAAGAAACAGGTATAGAACATAAGATAAAAAGAACATAAAGACTAAAGAACAAAGTAATAGATATTGAGTTGGGGAATAAAAGTAGCAATTTTTTTAAAGCAGATTCAGAAAGGACTATTTGTCATTTCCTTTTCTAATTTATAGGAAATATTCATGCTTTATAGCTCCAACTATTGCCCAACCACCAAGCAATTTAGAGAAAATGTGAAAGAAATAGCCATGATGATATGCAGTACAGTGACATGAAACTTTCCTGCAGAACTCTGATCAAATGGATGCCATCCTCAATTAACCTTTTCATTTGAATTATCACATTGTCTGAATTATCACATTGTTGTAGTATGAAAGAGGGGAAAAAATGGACACCCAACTAGCAACATTCTTAAAAAGTGATTCTTGCCATCAAAATTTCAGTTTCAATTCCTAATTAAAATATTTTCTCCAAAAATGTGGGCACATGCTTCCTTATTTAATGAGCCAAAATAGAAAAGAAATATGGTAAAACACAACTGAGACTAAGCAGTCCTTAGGCTAAAGCTGAAGTGGGAAATGTTGACTGTTTCAGATGAGGGCTGCTTTCTTTTTTCCTCAATACAGAGAGGGAAAGAGAGAGAGAAAGATGCTTGAAAAAGGATAATTTGTGTATACTGTGATAAATGAAGGGGTGGTGGTGGTCTTTTTTTCCCATGATCCAGGCTACTCTGTAGATCAGTGGCCCAGTCTATGCACCTGCAGCAAAAAGTTCCCACTCAGAATATTCTTCACCTGTTACAATATATACACATTTTCCTATATGGAGATTATCTCAGAGTAGAGGAAAAAATTATATAAAAAGTGATTCAGAGGCTGACAAATACTATGGAAAATAGATTAGAACCAGTGACAGCTTTGCTTTAAGAGAAAGCACTTCTAGTCACACAAATTGAGGTAACCATATCATATCCAGTTCTGTTCCAAAAGTTCCCCCAATTCCCAGGAGCAGTTTTGTAGGTAGGAAAGAGAGATTTAAATTATTGTTGTACTACTATATGCAATAACTGTAATAATGAAGAATATATTTCAAATATGATTTAAGCCAACAGAATTTGAGGGAATTAAACTGATTCAAATAGTTAACTATATAACCCGAAGAAAAATTTGGCTGTAACAGCCACAACACAGTGAATTTACTATCATTGTGATTGTTCAAAAAATATTTAGAAGATGCATTTCTTCACAGGAAAGTAAAATATGCCTTTGCATATATAAAATGTATAGTCTCAGAAAGCAAAAATGTAAGTTTCTGATTCATAATACACACAAGCAAATGAAATAAACTGAACAAAAATGGTACCCTGTCATTTTTTTTAGTATGAAGTGGTTCACACCACAACAGTCTACTAAAGTTCTATCAGTATAATATCGGTGAATAAAATTGCTTTTAGTACAGAATTCATTTTCTCAACAGGACTGTTATTAAACTCTGTATCAGAATCTCACATTTACAAATTTGATTTCATCTGTAGTAACTCCATATTATAGCTGAACAAGCATATTTTAAAGTCATAAAAATCTACATCTGAGCATGAAAAGCAATTTTGGAAAACAATTCAAAATTGATAAAGAATTCTGAAAAGCTATAGAAACCATCATTCCATAATCAATTTAGTAGAGCACAAGTTTTACATGCTGACTTTAAACATTTTTCCTGAAAAAATCTGAACACTTAGGCCCAGTTTGCACTTAACAGCCACTCAACTTTTTTCATACTCTTGGTGTTAATCAACAAGCAAGCACATTACTAGTTCATGCTGCTCTACTCAGGGCAGAGACAGGGTTGGACAGAAAGGTTGGAAATAACAATTACACTAAGCATATTATGGCTTTGCACCTTTCAAATTCAAGCTCCTTCACTTGATATTTATCCACCCATAAATGAAATGCTGTGATTTGTGAACAGTAATCAGCAACTAGATAAGCTTTCCCCAACCTGATAATCTCTACCTCCAAGGATTTCTGATGATTGGCTATGTTGTCTGGGGCTGATGGGAGTTGAAGCCCAAAACATCTGGAGGGTACCTGTTGGGGAAGGCCAAACTAGACTGATTCACAAGTATGAATGCCGTTTGACGATGCTGTACCTTTGTTCTATGTGAGGACAATTAAACTCAATTCATAATGGGGCTCCTGTATTCATTAGTCTTTGCTAGCCTATTCCCTTTCACCTTGACTAATGCACTATATACTGCTGTACGTTTATTTCAGAAATCAAATTTACTATGGATATACTGTTGTCTTCTATACAGCTGAAAACACGGAACGGATAATGTAAAGTAGCTCTCGAGACTGTCTTCAGTTTCATTCATGGAATCAAACAACTGTAAAGCCTTATCACATATAGTTTTTCCTACACAGAAATATTCAGTTTTCTATTTTTATCACATTTGTATAGTTTCTATATTTGTATAGTTTCCTGTGTAATTTCCCTATATGGAGATTCTATGGAAAGATTTAAAACAATCTTTTTCTATGCCACCATTTTGTCCTCAACACATCACAAAAATGTGACAGAATTTACAATTAAAGCAATTTAAAACACTATTCAAATCATATAACGGAATAAAACAGAATGTAATGTAAAAAGGAGCCTAGGTGAAATGGAATAAAATGCCACTACTATTCTTTGCATTTCCTATTAGTTGTTTCTGAAACTATTTTCCTACAGCATTTACTTTGGCTCAATCTTAGTTCTTTCTCATGCTCAATAAGCATACATCTTTGCCTCATAAAGATGCAATTTTATATGTTTTTGTCAAATGTGATTGCCTTCTAAATCACAGATACCCAAATTAAACTGCACAGTAGCACCTGTGTGATAACAGCATAAGAAAGTGCAGCAATGTTGGAATGACATATTCACAGTGATCCAGCACCAATTCTCTCTGCAGAAAGTATAGGTGAGGTTCCATGTTCTGTAGATATAATATTCTACTTCGCAAGGGAAATAAAGGTACTGTGAGCTCTTGATAATCAAGAATCTTTACTTCTGCCATTAAACAATTTGGAGAACTGCGCATAAAACTGTTCACACGTAGTTATAAATAGCAAAACCTAGTACAAAGGAATACAAGAGATGAAAGGGGGCAGGGGGAAGAATTAGTGCTTTCCCTTCATATGATGGCAGTGAGTGCACCAAAACACATAAACATTGATCTACAAGTGATAAAAATGAAAAGCTATCATTATAATCAACATCTCTAAGGTTATGTGGTTTAATTTTATGTATGGTGTATTTAGTGGAATTAAGACATATCAGCTGTTTGATAGATTATGTAATACATAATTATACAAACACAATGGTTAGGGCCAAACCACACAACCTGTTTTGTGACCAAGGGATCTTTGTTCTCATGCTTCTTAAACAGTAGGCCCCCACACTACAGGAAGCTTTTGAAAATGAGGTAACTTTCAAAGGAGTTTGATATGGCATCAGCATCTCATATTCAAAGTAAAATAATTCCAATGACCATGCCCAAGCCTTTGGATACATATAAAGGTGCTTTTTGGTTCTCAACAAATATTTTGACTTTCCCTATAGTGCTACATCTTCATGTAAACCCTTACAAGTTATAGAATGGAGTTACTTCAGATGCAATACATTATTTGGGCAAAAAGTATTATTATTATTATTATTATTATTATTATTATTATTATTATTATTACATTTCTAACCTGCTCCATTAGCCATATGGCTCCCTGATGTTAGAATAACTATGATTAAACTAATTTCAAGCTCCACACCAGAAAGACAGAAACTGTCAGCAAAACATCAGAGCAGAGGATGCAACTCAAGAATAGTCCCTGTAACACCCAGGGTGTACTACAATACTGAGAAAGAGTCACAGTAGTAGTGCCCAGAGAACTTGACATTTTATTGCATGCCTTTCAGGGGCAGGTCACAATAGATGAATGACTGTGTTGTAGCAAATTACAGCCAAACTGCAATCTGGCATAACTCTGAGTGAGATACTGAAAATAACAGTACTCTTAAAAAATACAAGATTAGTCTTTCCCCTTGAGCTTCCCCTCTTTAGGAACATGTGATCCCTAACAACTATAAATACACATATTTGCTGAATACTGATATAATAAATCCACATCCCAATAATACCAGATATTTAACAAGCTTAGACAGATGCGCTACCTAAATTGTTTTAAGAGGAACTTTATTTATAGCATACCAGACTGATGGAGTGTAGGAGGAGTAGGTGTCTCTAAGGAAGGTCTTTGTTCATTGTCAGGTGAAGATAGTAAAGAAGTAGAAGGGGGACTCTCAGCTGAGGAAGATGTCGAGGGAGCATGAGCTGACACTGTAGATGATGATGACTGCATCTGCTCAGGACCATCCACTTCCATTGCAGCCTCTGATTCTGCACTTGTCAAGAGGCTTCCAGCAGCAGAAACATCTGATCTACTGGTCCCGCCTTTGGGAAAAACAAACCCCGCAACTATTTTTAAGACACCATGCTACAGTTATTTATTTGGCACAAATAATATCTTCCATGCAGTATCTTAAGAAAATGTGAAATCATTGAGTTTATAGCTTAAATATGTTATTATATACAAATTATTTTGTCAGTTCATGTTGAGAGTTATTAAAAGCATTCACCTCTAGACCGAGATCGTCCTCTTCCTCTGTTACTCTGTGCAACTTCACTTGCTTCTTCAAACCATCTTGATAACATGTCTGACATCCTTTGCATTAATGAAACATTAGGGCTCTGTTCACCTGTGCATAAAGAGATGTTAATGCTTTTACTCAAAGCATCCTTGATGAGGGCATTCCATAAATGGGGATGCTACAACTGAAAAGGTCCTCTCTCTTGTAGCCACTTACTACAGATCAAACAACAATGGAACTCATTTTTTTAACAATGAAACTCATTTGTTACTAATTTTTTGTTTTGTAAAATGAGTGGTGGAATATTATATAATGCGTTCTTTCATAAAATACCTTCCCAAGTAATTAAAGTTCAATTGTACTAGGTTTCTACTATCTATCCCATACATTGTTGGAGAACAGAAAATGAAAGCTGATGGCAGAAATAAATGAGTAAGGAAAGTGATAAAGAAGGCCAAAGATAGTAAATAAGATACCAACCCTCTCCTTAGCCAGCAATATATTCCAATAGCTACCATACATTGTTATTTGAACATTGTTATTTCTATTACATTTGTTTCCAATGGAATCTAAGACAGATCATTTCTTTAGCCATGTTTCACAGCAGGGACCTGCATCTCTAACACCCTTGTGCTGCAACCCTTGTGCATTAAATAATATCCCCAGCTAAAAATTGCATTTGTTTGGACAGACAGTTGTTACATGCTGTCAAGTCATCTCCAACTTATGGTGACCCTATGAATAAATGCCTCCTAAAATCTCCTCTCCTTGACAGCCCTGCTCAACTCCTATAAATTCAAGGCTGCGACTTGTGTTATGGAAATGATCCGTCTTCCCCTTCTTGTTTATTTGAAGCATATTCCATCTTTTAGGTTCTCTCGGTAACAAAGCCTTTTTTGACAAGCTCTTACCAGGTTTAAGTAAATCTGAGAACACTCAAGTCAACAAGGCCACAAGCTCATATGATTTGATTTTGTCAAGTGTGGAAAAAGCCTGTTCATGCCCAGATTTTCCTTTTGTTTCTTGAAAGGCCATGCAATCCTGTTACTACTTCTGGATGTCCTGGCAGTTTTTGATACTATTGGCCATGGTATGCCCCTGAACTGTCATTGGGAGTTGGAGGTGTTGTTTTACAGTGCTATTCTCATACCAGAGAATAGCACTAGGTGACTGCACCTCAGCCTCATGTCAACTGAACTCTGGTGCCACAGAGTACCACCTTCTACCCAATGCTATTCAATATCTATATGAAGTTTTGGAGAACGCTATTACAAGTATGTAGATGGCACCTATTTCTCTGTGGGAATGGGATCAGGAAAGGATGTATACATGTTGAATTGGACAATGAATGAAGTTATGGCTTGGATGAGGACTAATAAACTGAAGCAGAATCTTGACAAGTCAGAGACTCAATAGGCTGGAATTGGCTGTTTGCCTGTTCTGGATTGGGCAGCACTCTGATTGAGGGAGCACCTTAAACTACGTAAGAGTGAGCCTTCATCCATCACTGGATGCTCAGGTAAATGCTGGCTCAGAGTGCCTACTACCAGCTTCAACTGGTATGCCAACTACAAACATTCCTGGGTAGGGATAATCTACCTTTGCTGGTCATTCCAAATCATTGGAAAGTCATTATGTAATGTCTCAGCAGTAGTACTCACCCTGTGGAAAAATCTCCCTCAAGCAGTTCAGGAGGTGGAAAATTTGGCAAAAGAATTATTTTAAATGCCACTTGTTCAACTAGGCTTTTCTTAGCCTGTAATTAAATTAGCCAGGTTATTCCATTTTACTGATCGGTGTATTTATCATTATTGCATTATTTTTAAATTGTATTTTAAATGTAATTATAATTGTGACTTTTTATATGGAAACGGCTTAGAGAATTTTCTTAATATTTAGTGGTACAGAAAAGCTTGATATTTCAGAATATTAACATGCTCTGTAAATAGCAATATTTGTTCTCACGGTTGTATTTCTATAGAAGGATTCAAACAAGATCCTGGCTCTATTGTGCTATGTAATTCACAGACATTTTAGAAAAGTATCTATTTAGAAGACAAAGGCTGCAAGAAAAATCAATCAAACTTAAGCTCCACTAAATTCAACAGGACTCCCAAGTAAACAGATAAAAATTATGATGGTACTGCTGAAATGAACATAATCATAATAAAGAAATTATAAGTAGAGTTAAGAAAAGTTAGAAGAACTTCTTAATCAATATACAGAGGCAACTATTCTCAAGAAACAGAATAAGAGTTGGAAAGGGCCAAGAAGGTCACTGGTCCAACATCCTGCTATTGCAGGTCTCCAAGTTACACCATCCTTCTCAGATGGCTATCCAGCTGCATCCTAAATGCCTCTAGTGTGGGAGAGCCCACAATCTTCCAAGGTAATTTGTTCCATTGTCATCCTGCCCTAACAGACAGGAAACCTGCCCTGATATCTAGTAGGAATTTGGTTCCCTGCAGCTTGAGTCTGTTATTCCATGTCCTGCACTCTAGGATGATCAGGAAAAGATTCTGTTCCTCTTTGTGACAACCTTTCAGGTACTTGAAGAGTGCTATCATATCTCCCCTCAGTCTTCTGTTCTCAAGGCTGAACATGTCCAGTTCCCTCAGTTTCTCTTCACAGGACTTTGTTTCCAGACCCTGGATCATCCTTGTTACCCTTGTTTCAGCATGCTGCATCTTTCTTAAACTAGGGTGCTCAGAACTTGGACACAGTATACAAGCTGAGGTCTGACCAGTGCTGAGTTGAGGAGAATAAGTACTTCCCATATTTTGAAAGTGATGCTTCTATTAAGCCCAGCAGTTATACAATAATCCTTATTTATAATTTTAAAAAGATCCACTACAGTAAAGAAAATCTGCAAGTTAGAGATACATTGATTTATTAATTAGTAAATTCACAGCTTGCTTTTCTCAAAGCTGGTTATAACTAAATGAAACAAAATACTTACAAAACCTTACAACAGAGACAGATTAAAAACAAAGAAACAGTATAAAACCTAGTTACAGAAGGCTTGCAAGAAAAGCTCCAATCTTATACCCATTAATTTGAAAGTTAGCTCCAGCAATCTCAATAGGGCTTACCTCTTTAGGCATGTACAGGACAGTGCTGTTAATACCTGATTCCAGAATGTGGGGGCTCATTTTCCTGGGTTGTTAATCAATATTATGTCAAAGTTCTCCAGTTGGAATGCAATGGGAAAAACCAACTTAATGCAACTTAACTAGGATGCCTGTACCAAAACTGGCATGAAAAGAGAGAGCTAGTATTGAAAATACAGAAGTGCTCTATCTAAAACTCAGCATCTAAAATTATAGATTTTAGCAACTGACACCTAATGTTCATAAAAGTAGCACATTTTGAATTGAAATTAGGGAACAAACAAACAAACAAAACCCAATTACCATCTCTCTCTCTTTCACTTTCAGGCCTTGCTCTTGGTCCAGTATCTGACCAATCTCCTCTTAGTCGCAAACGTTTGACAGGAGGCTGCCGTAACTGCAGAAACAAAGACAAGCAAGGATGTTTAAGATGCAAACACTTGTTCTATTCCTAGCAAAAGTTAATTGAAAAGGCAGAAGCATTGTATAAACTAAAACTAACATCAAACTTTTATTATAGGAACTCAAAACATAATCTAATTTTTATTAGATCAACTGGCAACTCTGTTTGATAAATACAGCTTAGAAAAGAAAACAGAGAGCACCAATGCAGCCACAGCATGTCTGATTTGTTATTCATGAGCTACATTAAATACACTCAAGGACTTGCACAGGATTAGTAGAATTTTTAATTTTTTCTGGCAAGTCTGCCCTTCTAATCTATGCAATTGCACAAACTGCTTGTCACTTTTTCTGTGCAGTTATGGGGGACTATTGATCATATGCTTGGGTAAAGAAACTACTGGTGGAAGATTTTAGATCTGAGGTCATGGCAAAGACTGGGAACAGACTGTATGATTCCTCCTTATAGTCATTCTCCTATATGGAATTATCTGTCCTTTCTGTTTTGAATGCCTCTTCTCACGCTTATGTTATTGTGTTATCAGGTTTGCTTCTTTATTATTCTCCATTTAGTTTCAAACCTAAATAAGCAAGAAGAATGTACTAAGACATTTATTGGTCTACCAATGCATGCAAAGAAAATTAGCATGGAAGAACATCTGTACACTTTTTAAAAAATGGTCTTAAAAGACAAATATAGTCACTTATCGTGTGATATTAGTTTAGACTACCTAAAATCTACCTTGTTATTGGAACTTGAATTAAAATTTTTTTATTCAATTGCATGTTTAGTTAGCTTCTTCCCCACATCACTGGTTTATTTTGTGAAGCTTTATTTCTGGATACAGAATTGCAGCTTTTTGTTTACTATAATTCAGTATTATATGTCAGCAATGTTTGTACTTTCAGAACAATGAAGAATGAAGGACTATTTTTGGGGTTGGGTTAACTGAGGTAGGCCTTTTACATTCAGGGGATAGTAAGCTAAACAGTGCAGTATTTAAAATATATTTAATGTACATTTTCATTTAAAATCCCTTCCTCTCCCCAGTTTCAAACAAGATTTGTCATGTATTGTATGTGCATGTAAGAATATGCACATGAGCAGCATTTTCAATAAACTGAAACAGCATAGTGGAAATGAACCTGGCTATGCGATTCCCTGAATTTCAGCTGTTTATTTTCTAGAATTTAGAGAGAATTTTGTCTTAGGAATGTCTGAAAAAATATTTCTCTATTTATGCAGTTGTTAATATCACGACCACCCTTCTGTATTACATGAAAAGAGTAACATATTTTAGGACAAACAACATTGAGGAATTCTTAGAATTTCATGCTCATATTTTTGTCTTCAAGGAAACATTGTAATTAATACACAGTTGCTTCTATATTTAGAGTAGAATTTAATATTGTTAAGTTGGTCCAGAAGTTTTTCTGCAGCCATCACATGGAACATACTAGCACCTCTAGAGAGCAAGTTTACAGGTGAAGGTATACTGAAGAATAAATCATGGCAAGTGACAAATCCCCTAATCATACCTGCAATTTGCTCCTGAACAATTGCAGGTTTTCTTTTTTAAGTAGTCACCTAAGATTTTTAAACATTTAACATACATTTACACTAACCAAAAGAGTATACCTAACACAGTTGTGCAAATATTTGTTACAGTTACATGCAGATAGACAGGTTCTTCTATGGTTTGATTTTTTTTTTTACTGCACTGTAGTCCCTAAGGAGCTACCATTCTATGCACAGTACAACATACATTCACATCACTCCCCTAGAATTTCTTCCTTTCCTCTTCTCTCTCATTTATGTTTGTACTTTTAGATTGCAGATCTAGGGGCAAAGTTAGTAGTATGTTAAATATCTGTAAAATATGAAGTGACTGAAATGCAAAAATTATTATTGCATATGTATGGTACATATTCTACCAAACAAATGCTCTCCATGGTTTCCCATTATGTGTGAACCAACTCAAAGATGATCAACTGCTCTCCAAGCAGATACAGGTTAACTCTCAGTTTAAACAAGAGAATATAACAGTATGGTTAATGTTCATTAGTTCAAGAAGGAACTATCAGGAAAACATTATAAAAAATATAAATATTGACTTGCAAACTGTTCTAACTGAGAATTCATTTCCCCCAACCTCTGAAGTAAATCTCATAGCAGAGATTTCTGATTTGTTTATTTTAGCAGGATTTTAATCAGACTCTACAAGCAAAATCTCGTCCAATAATGTAACATCTAAAAATACTGAATGGTATTTTTATTTTCCCTTTCAAACTATCTTATGATAGGAAGATTGCTCCTGCAAATTTATTTTCAGTAAAGCTAGTCTGTGCTAACAAAGAAAATTAACTCCAGTTGCTATGGAGCACTTACTTCTTCTCTTCTTTCTTCTGCAGAAGGAACTTTAAGTTCTCTAGCTGTGTCATCTTTGGGATCAAACAAGTAGATATAGTCTGAAGAATAGCTCACAAGAATTTCTTGCCCATCTTCACTGTAGCACAAAGATGTTACCCGACAGGATTTGTTGTTAAGGTGGGGAGGAACAAAACGTGCCACCAATCCTGTAGTACCCCGACCAGCATAGTTACCTACATTTTAAAAAATGAGTACATTTTCCATTACACATATACAAATCAATGTAATGATTATTTCCTGTCAAGTGTTAAATTGAAAGGGGATTAGGGTGCTTTCCAAGACACTTTGAAAATTACAAAATCCCTCATAAAAGTCCTGTTTGATCAGACCAAACTCCTAACTAGTCCAGTCTCCTATTTCCAGTGCTGGCCAATTAGAAGTCCATACTTAGATCATGAGGATACTTCTCTTGCTATTGTTCTATAGTAACTGTTACTGAGATGCATACTGCCCCCAGTCCTGGTAGCATACAGCCTTAACCAGGCCAGTTTGATGTAGTGCTTAAGAGTTCAGGACTGGGACTCAGCTGATCTGGGTTCTAGTCTCCGCTGGCCCATGAAGCCAATCGGCTAACTTTGGGCCAGTCACAGACTCTCAGCCCAACCTACCTCACAGGGCTGTTGTTGTGCGAAGAAGATTAAGAGCAGGAAGATGTAAGCCACTTTGAGTTCATAAGAAAAAAGCAGGATATAAATCGAATACATAAATAATAAAACTGTTATCCATTGAGAGTCTTATCCTCCATACGGCTGTCTAATATCCTTAAAGCCATTTAAGCTTATGGCCAATTAATTCCATATTAACCATGCACTGTATTATCTACATCACTTTTTATGTTCTGAAATTTTCTACCATTCACCTACCTCAGATAATCCCAGGTTCTAGTAAGGTCTATATTCTCTTTCCTTACACAACATATAATTTTAGAAATGTTAATCCTGATTCCTTACTTTTTTTAAATTAAAAGCCCAAAATATTGCCACTCCTGTTTTTCCTGAACTTTGTATTGTGGGACACAATGAGGTGAAACTATTCATCCATTTAGTGTAGTGGAAATGGGTGGCTTGAATGCATTCCTTTTGCACTAAAAATACTTGTAGACAATTACAGCATTACTCTTTTTTATCCACTTAATTTCTTACTTGGAAATGTAAATGGTACCAAAAGTTAAATGTATTTTAACTAAGCAGCAATTCCTAAGGTTCCACAATTTACCTACTACAATGATCATAATGAGACTATAGAGCAGTTCTATAGTACATTAATCTTACTCACTGGAAACATTCTATGCTATCCACCTGTTTTTGCACATTTCTTGAAAAGTTCAAATGAACAGTAGAGAGTGATGTTTTCTGAAGCCTCCTCTTAGCCTGCACTCACAATCCCTTATTAAATTTATATCTCACCTTTCAATCAAGAACTAGCAATAATAGTGATTAAAACAACCAAACAGAACATAAAAACAAGTTTAAAATGCAACAGTGCAAGAAATAAACAGCACCCAACCAGTGAAAAATCCTTCCAGCAGCAGATGAGCTTATGTGCCAAAGGCCTACCCAGATAAAAATGCCCTTGTCTGCTGAAAGGAGGAGAACAAAGAAGCAGCCATCCTAGTCTTCCTTGGCAGGATTCTGCAGTCTAGGGGAGGCCACTGAGAAGGTCCTCTCTTATCTTTGCATCAAATATGCCTCTGATGGCAGTAGGACCAAGTGAAGGGCTTACCCTAAAGATGCTCTATCCCAGACAGCCTCATATGTGAGAATACAGTCGTTTGCATATCCTAATCCCAAGTTGTATATTTTAATTAATTTTCTTGCTATACCATCCAATACCCAAAGCTTTCTGTGCAGTTTAGAACATAACATACCATATAAAATTGCATTGGGCTGTTCTTAGGTCATAAACAGCCCTGGTAAACACTCTGGCCTTACTATCCTGAACCAGCTAGAGTTTTTTAATACTTTTAAAAGGCACCTTCACAGACAGAACATTATAACATTCCAAACAAGGTATGTGCCGCCATGGGCAGAAGAGGTATCTCCAGAAGGGGAACAGTTGCTACAAGCTCCTGACCACTTCTGAAACCTGGGTATTCAAATTCAACTTCAGGAGCATACCCAAATTAACAATTGGAGTCTTCAGGAGGAGTGTAACCCGATGGAATACAGACCACATTAGACCTTCTGGAGGAATTAACCAAGGTTCCACAAGGTTCCCATTCCTATTTTGAAAGCATTATTTAACTTCTATATTTATTTACCATGGCTAAAAACTAAAGGAATTTCCTTCTGATAGAGAAACATTTCTGAGTAGATCAAAAGTAGCTCACTTTGTACTATCATGCAAGCACTTTCCTACCTGTTGCTCTTGTGCCAAGCATTCGCCGATCAAAAATTCTTACTGAACTATCAGAGCAACCAACTGCAAGGTAATATGGTATTGGGGGGCAGATTGCTACAGAGGTGGCAGCCCTCCTACAGTTTATTAAGATATCCTAGAATGAAAAGAAAATACTGCCCTTACTTAACAAGCACATACAAACCTAGTATCTCATCCTACCAAGCTAACAATTAACATCTAGATGGTTATATCTTGGAAAAGGCTAAATCGGATCTCATTAAACAAGATTTTAAGCACTGGAAGAGAGAAGGGAATGACTGCTGCAGGACTAGGTAAACAAAAGCATGATACATGAACAGTAATTTTCAACTGTAAACACAATATTTAATCTTCAGTTTTCGGATTTTCTTGTGGAAGAGGTGGTCACAAAGTAGATCACAAGAGACAGATATTGTCTCAACTAGTTTAAAAGGATTGCATCAGATTAGATTTATGTAATGATAATTGGATGTAAAGAGCAATGCAGAGATTAAGAACCAAAAATAGGTACAACAGAAAAAGGACAATACTGATTACCATATGTAAGAGTGGTAAAAGACACAGTTAAGTAAAATGTGTACTTGAGAAGCAACTCTCTCATGTAATAATAAGTTTTTAAAAAAATGAGTATAATAGTCTATATTTAGACAAATAAAATACTGATACTCTCATTCCTAAGTAATTTTTATATTCTCTTGTCATTCAGATAAAGGATGCTCTGTCACAAACCATTGTATCATGTCAAATAATTCATGAAATGTAGCACTGAAAGTTACCCAACTAGTTAAAAACTCCCTGCTGATTGTGTTATTTTGACATGCCAAATAAACTGTATTTCAAAACTATCAGATTATAGTTTTTCAGATATATAGCTTTGTCTTCCCATATCTTGGTAACCCCACTAGAATCCTTAAAAGCAGCACCTAAGCAGGGTAGGTTCTGAACACAATACAGTTCTTTATTCACACCCTCTTATAAAAGCATCTCTTACATCTTTACAATCTTCTTTCGTACAACTTGTCTTGATCCTAGTATCAAACCATCTTACAGTTCCATCTTCTCCACAAGACAAAAACGTATAGGGATCATTTGGGACTGTCATGATCTGTAACAATAAAAATATGAACATTTAAGCATGGCCACACACACGCTTTAGAAATTAAGGTCAATATAAAAACAATGCATAACATGTTCTGTATGTTGAGAACAGTCAAGTGTTGGGTTTTTAACAGCAATTTCCTCTGTCCATATGCATTCTGGCACAAGTACAAGCCACTGCTGCATAATAATTTGGTATCAATTAAGGGGTGGGGAGTTAACTTGAACTGAAACAGCTCTTATAAGCAACACATATATAAACTTGGAAAGATTTTGAAAAACAATTATGCGTACACACACACACTGGTTCACAGGATATAACATATAGCTGCATCATAGTGCAACTGTATAGTATGTTTTTGAGGTGGTTTGCTGGAAGGATGGAAAAGCAGAGTATAAATTACAGGGTTCTACCTTAAAGGTGGCCTAATAATTTTACATTAATTAATTAAAACAAGGGTGGAAATCTCTGGCCCATGGGCCAGACATAGCCTGTGCTATCTGTCCAATCTGCCCATGTCATCCCTCTGCCCAAAGCTTGAAAAAAGCCTTTATTAGAACCAATTAGAGGCTTCTTTCAGACAGAGAATGCCATATGGGATGATAATTTTCAAGAAGACAGATTCAGAAGAAATGGGACAACTGGGGAATGAGCAGTTGAGAAAGAGAAAGGGCAAAGCCATTCACTTTTTGCAAGGGGCTGCCCACTTGTGACACATGATCCAGAAAGGTTAACCACAAGAAAATACAGTTCTCTGACAAAAAATCTTCCATTCTCCTGTATAAATTGATAATAAGGAATACTACAAAATAGCCCTGAAGTGAATGCTTTAAATAACAGAGATGAACATAGGAGAAACACTTTGAACAAGATTGTCTTTTTTTCCAACTTTTAGGTTAGGAAATTATAGTATGAAGTTAATAGCTAGCCATTAGTCTTTACAACAACAAGATGTGAAATTCTGTATTATACTACCTCATAAGTAGTTCCATAATGGCATGTAAATTGGCACTGTCTGTTGGTTTCAGCATCTTGCTCAACATTAGTATAAAAAATGACTCCATCTCCAGAACATGACACAATCTGCTTATCATTAGTGCATGGTAAGAATTTTGCACTAAAAATATTTGCCCGGTGTCCTGAACGAATGGTTGTTAAAACCTAGAAAATACAGTTCATTAACATTTTAAATTAGGTAATACAGGAAAAAAAATAACAATCTTATCTTGCTTTCCCATCATAGTCTCAAAAGATTGGGCCACATCATTCCAGTTCATCTTGATAATCTAGCCTGGGCTAGTTTAGGCTGAAACTAGCCTAACTTATTCCAGATCAAACAGTTACATTGTGACTAAAGAGGAATTTGAACATTGTATTATGCACGGGACATGTGGAAGACCTACAGAGATTTCATGGTAACAAAGTGGCACTGAAAACTGCTCTACATGGTAATGACTGGCTTAATGCATTTTACAGCAACTCTTTTATTCAGAATACCTTTTTAGGGTTAAGCATAAGTACGACATTTGTGGAAGTGTGTAATATCAGAAAAAGCACTCCTTTCAAATATAATCTTTATCAACAACATACTAAACTGTATGTGTCCCAGGCCTTAAGATCAGCATTGAGAAGGCCCTATTCTCTGGCCTACCAGAAAGAACCATTAAGATGCCAGGTGTCAGGGACACAACTTTCTCAGTTGTGGTCCCACACCTTTATAATTCTCTCCTGCATGGAGACACATAAGGTCTCATTATTGCTGTCTTTAACCAAAAAAAAAAAAACCAAAAATCCTTGAAGTCACATTTATTCACATTTTTTTATTATTATTATTATAACATTTCTATGCCGCCCCTTGCCGAAACCTTGGGGCGGCTTACAACATGATAAAATACATTGAAATACAATAGTACATAATAAATTACCATTAAATAGAAAAATACAAAAATACATTGATTTACAAACACAAAATTAAAATTATCAGTATAAAATAAAAATATAGGAGGAGAAAGAGAAGGAAGAAGAAGTTGCCCAGGCCAGATCATATGTTTTAACAATTGAAATGATGTTTAAATAAAAAGGTCTTTACCTGACGCCGAAAAACCAGTAACGACGGTGCCAGGCGGACCTCTTTGGGGAGTGAATTCCATAGGTTGGGCGCCACCGCAGAGAAAGCCCTCCTCCGGGTACTTACTCTCCTAATTTCTTTCATGGAGGGTTCCTGGAGAAGGGACTCTCCCGCAGATCTCAAAGGGCGGTCGGGCATATACGGACGTAAGCGCTCGTTCAGGTAGCCAGGACCCAAGCCGTTTAGGGCTTTGTAGGTCATAATCAACACCTTGAATTGGGCCCGGGCTTCAATGGGAAGCCAGTGAAGCTGACGGAGGACTGGAGTCATGTGAGCATAACGCCCCGTCCCCGTCAGCAACCTGGCAGCTCTATTTTGTACCAATTGAAGTGTTCGGACTGTCTTCAGGGGAAGCCCCACGTAAAGCGCGTTACAGAAGTCTAGGCGGGAAGTCACCAGCGCGTGTGTCACTGTCGCCAGGCAGTCGTACTCCAGGTAGGGGCGCAGCTGATTAATCAGCCGAAGCTGAAGGAAGGCGTTCCTCGCCACCGCTGTCACCTGAGCTTCCAAAGAAAGCTCCGGGTCGAGGAGTACTCCTAAGCTGCGGACCTTATCCCTAAGAGGGAGTGTTGCACCATTCAGGACCAGGTCAAATCCACCCTCTCCGAAACCCGATCCGCCAACCAACAGGACCTCCGTCTTGTCTGGGTTGAGTTTCAGTTTATTGGCCCTCATCCATTCCCTTACCTCGGCCAAGCACCGGTTCAGCACAGCCACTGCCTCACCTGGACTAGTGGAGAACGAGAGGTAAAGCTGGGTATCATCAGCGTATTGATGATTCCGCAGCCCACACCTCCTGCATTTGATGCTTAAAAATCATTAACTACTGCATGTGTGTCTGCAACAGAAAGGTATGCCATATTTCTGTAGTATTGCAAGCTGTCCTATAAGGATAGTGTGCCCTGAAAAGTGAGTTACATATATTTTAAATAAAAATGCATAAACCAAAGAATAAGTAAGGGGACAACAGATTGTCTTACCTTTCTACTATATGGATTAGTAATTACAAGATTAGTATCATCTGATCCAGATAAAATATATCCTCCTGTATCATTCCAGCAAATTGTATTCACCTGTGGGCACATATTAAAATAAAAATTAACTTATAAGCAAAAAAATGTTAGGCAGCTATAGTAACCAATCTGATATTGATATGCTAAAAACATTTAGCTGTACTAGATAAGAACATAGTACCCTTGAAAATTAACTGTTTTTAAATTCCCACTACACTGGGGGCACGAGGTGCAAAAGACAAGATTGGAGAAAGTCCTGGTTTTCACCATGACCCAGAATTCCTCTTCTATGTGTGAAAGAGCTAGTCTCCCTTTTGAAGACCTTAGCATGAAAAAATATTCTACATTCTGCATGTGGAAACACTGTTTAACATTGTTAATTATACATATACTCTGTATGGCCACTTGCACATTTGCATTTCTAACTTCATAAATGGTACATTTCACTTCCAACTGCAGTCTATTTGATAAAGAACACTAAAAAATATCAGTTATGAGAAAAATCAAGGCAGACCCAAATCATCACTATTTGTGATGATTTGTAAAGCAAATTCTTATGTATAGTCATCCTAGCAATATAAATGATATAAACTTCTGCAAAAAAGATAACTCCAGCTCTCACTAACAACAGATTTGAAGGATAAAATAAAAAATATACTAGAACAAAGTAATGTTAAATTTCAAAGGAAAAGATCCTGGAAAGTTTTCATACTGATTTTATGAAAACATTTAGGAACACAGATAAAGCACATTTTTAAAGATATACAATAACTTCATTTTTCTGTATTCTACTCTTAAATCAATGACCCTTCTTTGATAAATTCTAATATTTAAATGTAATCATATTGTTCATATGCATATTCTGTTATTTACATTCCATCTTCAAACATGGAAGGAATGACTGGCATAGAATACAATGATATAGAATACGATATAAAAAAGAAACAGCAATAAAAGCACCATATAAGATTACCATACAAATTTTAAAATTAAATTTAAAACAAATATAAAAAGATACAAAAGCTTAAGTTATAAGACTGATCTGCTTAAGCAGCTAGCCAAGTCCCAATATAACAACAACTAATTAAATGTCCTGTGGCAGAGCTATCTTAACCTAGTGCTGAAAAGATATTAAGACTGAAACAGCAGGGAGCTTGTTCCATAACTGTGTAGCCACCACTGAAAAGGCCCTTCTTGTTGCCACGAATTGAGCCTCAGTTGAAAGTAGCAACTGGAGGCAGGCCCCAGATCATGATATTAGTGTTCAGATACTTGGCTGGGATAAGTGTTCCATTAGGTATTGTAGTCCCAAGGTGTGGAGGACTTTATAGGATAAAACCATGTACAGTGGTACCTCAGATCACGAACATCTCAGTTCACAACCAAATGGGTCACAAACAGAAATTTGCCTCAGGTCGCAAAGTCCACATCGGGTGACGACCATGATCGCAGCCATGTTCCCACACAAACACAACTGCAATCGCAGCCATCTTCCCCGCACAAGCACAATTGCAATTGTGGCCATCTTCCCCATTTGTGGACACAGACAGACCTGTGGTCACTTGCTGTGAAGCTTATTGAATAATGGCTCCAAAGAAAGTGCAGAGCAAGCATGGTGGTAAAAAGAATGTGCAGAGTGGTAATGAAGGTGACAAGAACGTGCAGATTTTTCACCAAAATTGACCCTTAAGAGACAAAGAAGAGAGGAAACCCCTGAAAGAGATCTCCCCGATGTCCTTATGGAGGGGAACTCTCCCTCCAAACAATAACCTGCCCCCCACCTAGGTTAGTGTTCTCTACTGTACTGTACTGTGTTACTTTGTTCTTTGTTACTTTGTTTCATTTTTTTGATTAAAAAATATTTACAGAATGGATTAACCTTATTTATACATTGAACCTTATGGGGAAATTTGACTTGGCTTGCGACCAATTCGGGTCGCAACCAGAGTCGTGGAATACTTTAAGTTCCTGAGCCAAGGTACCACTGTATAGGCAGCCAACACAAGTGTGCCAGAATTGATGTCATGTGTTTCAACTGTCTAGTCTCTGTCATTCATTTGGCTACTGTATTTTGCACATGCTGCAGCTTCCTAACAGTCTTTACGGGAAGCCCCACATATAGTGCATTGCAGGAATCTAGATTACGGGAGTGTGGATTACTGATACCAGACTATCCTTTTCCAGACAGTGGCACAGCTGGGCCACCAGCCAAAGTGGTAGAAGACACTCTATGCCACTGAAGTCACCTGGGCCTCAAGTAACAAAGATGGATCAAGAAGCATCCCCAAGTTATAAACTTTGGGGGAGTGCAACCTTATTTAGAACAGACTGAATTCCTTCCATCCAGTCAGAAGAAGCACCCACAGACAGCATCTTGGTTTTATCTGAATTGACCTTCAGTTAGTTAGCTCTCATCCAATTCATTGTCTCAGCCAGGCACTGAGTTAGTATAGCCAAAGCCTCAAATACAATGAAAAGGAGAAATAGCACTGCATGTCATTAGCATACAGATAGCAGCACTTTCCAAAATTATGGGTGACCCAATTAAACATTTCATGCTGTTGATAAATACCAGTAGGGACAGAACAGATCCCTGAGGGATTCCATCCTGGACAACCCATGGGGTTGAACAATATTCCCGAAACATGCACCTTCTGAATATGACCTTCCAAGAAGAAGCAGAACCACTGAAATACAGTGTTCCCCCAGAAGGTTACCATGGTAGATGGTACTGAAATCCTCTAGGGGATCCAGAAGTAGCAATAGGATCACTATAGGGCCCCCTGTCTCTTTCCCAGCACAGGTCATCATACAGGGCAACCAAGGCTGTTTCCATGTCAAAACAAGGCCTGAACCTAGACTAAAATGGATTTAGATCATCATTCTCACCCAAGAGTGCCTGGAGCTGGCTGGTCACCACCACTCAAGAACCTTGCGCGGGAAAGGGATACAATATAAAAGCTTTTCAATTGTAGTAGTAAACTTCAATATATTTAAGAATTTGATCACTCTTGCTTTATCTTCTAAATTAGAAAAAAAACAAGTATCTTCAGCATCCCTTGGATGTATAGAACAGCAAAATATTATATCTAAAATGATGCACAATCCTTTGGACTTGATGTTCTGCTTGTCCTCCTCTCTCTGCATCCATTTTTCTGTTATGTCTTTTAGATTGTAAAGCTGAAGACTGAGATCAAGCACTTTAAATAATGAAATTCACATATGAGAGATAAAAGAACACATTCTAATTTTACCATTTTAAAACATGTTTGAAAACTACAATTGGCTGGATCTTCCTTCTATGGACAAAAGGGTTCCTGCTTTTCTGGGATCCCTACACAGCACAGCACAGCCCAATGTGTCCCTGATATCCATGTAGCATTTTCAGGAGGAAGAACTGCCATAAGGAAAAGGGGGCTGGATAATCCTCTCTTGCCCATCAGTCATAAGAGCTATTTTGCAAAGATAACATTCTTAAATTGACAAAAGGTTGTATCTGTGTCTATGTGCCAGGGCAACAGATACTGCTGATGGAATGGATTTCCCGTCCAATCTGCAGCACCCAAAGCACAACAAAAATCTGCCCATTTGGAGGACAGCAGGAATATGAGTAGTAGAGACCTGTGTACTTTGGATGGAATTCAAAATTAATTTTCAGTTAACCAAGACCAATTAAAAACAGATAGTTACATCTACTAAAATCACATGCCCATTTTGACATGGAAGGTACAGTTCAAAAATATTTCTCCTCTTATTTAAAGATCATTTAAAATATTGCCTATGAAAACAAGAAACTAGAAATTACTTACACAGCCATCATGCACATTCAGTGTTGCTTCAAGTTTTAATCTTTGGATAAACTCTCTTCTTCCTGTGGGGGAAAATACAGAACAATGAGCAAACACATGTTGATACTTATAATTGAAAATTGTATCACTCTGAACTTACTTTGACATGGCCTCTGTAACTAAGATTCTTAAAACTCAATCTGGACCTCCTTAAAGGCCATAGGATTTGCTGGGAATTCAGTTTCATCCAGCCAAATATGCACTGAACTACTTAGAGAGGGTTCAAAGGGAAGAACCATAATGCATCATCACCCAACCAGTACAACGTCAGAGGCAATACGTACCCGCCCCCAAACTTGAGCAGATTGCCCCACTGGCCTCAGCAATTAAATTGTCCTGGTTTTCCCTGGTGTCCCTTCCTTGAAGAATAGTACATCCCACATGCCCCTGATCCCTCCTGTTGTTTCATCTGCAAGGACAAGAGTAAACACTTACGGATGAGTGAACTGTCTTTGCTTTAATGAAAACATTAAATGTAGTAGAGATTCACTAAAATACAGTGAGAATAATAACCCTACATGTTAAAGTACAGCATTAGCTACTGAGTACACCTCTGTTGTAAAGCAAGAGCTTCCCATTCTTGATATCACAGATTAGTTCCTTCTCAACTATTTAAGAATTTTATGGTTCTTAGAGAAAATGTTAAGCATAAGCCCTAACACCAAAAATTATTATATAAAAAGATCCAATTATTATATAAAAAGATCCACTAAAAGGGATGTGCACCTAGTTCAGTGAATGCATTTAAAAGAAGGGAACTTAAAAAGATTTATTCACATATTCCAAACTGTAATGAGATATAAGAGATCATTACACAAATTCAACATGAATAGAACAATATTACAAGTACAAGTTTCTTCTACTAAAACACATTGATGTACAAAAGCATAATCCAACCCTGCCAATCAAACATATTGTTTTTTGAGTTTTCTGGTCAAAATAGATTAAAACCTTCATTTTGTGACATTAATAATTAGATGAGAAGGTTACTGCAAATGGAGCAATTGCCTAGATTTAGTTTATCCACAAATGCAAGTCAGTCAGCTGGTTCATGCAATCAAAATCAGCTGCGTCCCTTCCTGGAAAACGACTGCCTGGCGACAGTGACACACGCGCTGGTAACTTCCCAATTAGACTTCTGTAACGTGCTCTACATGGGGCTACCCTTGAAGACGGTCCGGATACTTCAGTTGGTGCAGAATAGAGCTGCCAGACTGCTGACGGGGACTGGGCGCTGTTCTCATATAACCCCAGTTCTCCGTCAGCTCCACTGGCTCCCGATTGAAGTCCGGGCCCAATTCAAGGTTTTGGTTATGACCAATAAAGCCCTAAACGGCTTGGGACCTGGATATCTAAAGGAAGGCTTGCGCCCATATATGCCCTCCCGCCCCTTGAGATCAGCAACGGATGCCCTTCTCCAGGAACCCTCTGTGAATGATATTAGGAGGGTGAGTACCCGGAGGGGGGCTTTCTCTGCGGTGGCACCCCATCTATGGAATGCGCTCCCCAGAGAGGTCCGCCTGGTGCCGTCGTTATTTGTTTTTCGGCACGAGGCTAAGACCTTTTTATTTAAAACTTATTTTAATTGCTAAATTATTGTATTAAGATTTTAAAATTTTTAGCTGAGAATGCACCGGGGGTTTTTAATTTTTTTTTCTTTTAATTGTTATATTATTATTATTTTTGTATGTTTTATGTATTCTTTGTGAGCCGCCCCGAGGCTTTGTTGCAATGGGGGCAGCATAGAAATGTTTTAAATAAATAAATAATAAATAAAATAAGGCACCTTGGCCAAAATAAGTGTAATTGAATAGAGGCAACATGGCTTACTGGAAAAGGAAACAACCCTCCAATAATCCTAAAACTAAGTTCATAAGCTTCACTGCCTGGGTTCAATGAGACAACAAACTATTAGAAATGGCAACTCTAACATGACATATATTCAAATAAGCCACCATGACTTATTTTGATTGTGTGAATGGATCCAATATTACATTCTATTTTGAGTGCATTTTCTGCATCAGTGATCATTGATTTGTCTGTTGCTAGACCGGCCAAGAGCATTTGAGGTCCGCCAAGAGAAGCTTTTGATCTGTGGGGATCCAGTGTATAAAGACAGGGAATCTACCTACAGTAGGTCTTGCAGGTAGGTCATAGGGCATCCCAATATATCCTTTGCACAATCTGTCCCATACAATGGATCACAGAAAACATGACATTTGAGTTGTAAAAGCTACTTTCAAGTCTTCATTTATACCTTATTGTCATGTAATTATTATTTTATATATTAAAGTTAGCTCATATCTACTATAGCCTAGATGTAATTCAAAGACTCTTTAATTTCTTCACTGTTGATTTTAAAAGGACCTTCTGGGAAATAAACCTTATACATTAATTTTGTTTTCAAGATATTAATTTCTAGTCTTATCCTGCATGATTTTTGCTCTACCTGTTCCATTTTCCTAATTCCAGTGCATCATTAGCAAATATTATAGGGAAATCAGCAACAAATAAATGTGTTAACAGATCTCTAAATTTGACTTTATTTTCAAGTTTGTTTTACTGGAAATAGATTCCAGAATTGAAGCAGTTTCAGAGAAATTGTGCCACTTTGTCTTACCCTTTCCTAAACATAGATACAGTGTGAAGCAGTGAATCTGTGAGCCCTATATAATAACTGTTTGATGATTTCAACTGGGTCAATCATCATGGTGTTAAGAACAGCTATTCTCAACAGCAGAATACTACAAAGACAATTTAGAATTAGTATGCAAAATGATAACATTTTCCTTTAAATGAGTATTCTGAATGCCACAATCATACTTTTAATGAAAGTATCACCTTTTAAAAATCATCTTAAGTTGCCTAATTGGAACCTCACTCACTCAGGTGCTGAAAAAACTATTCTAGAAGCAGAAGCAATTTTGTTTGTAGCAATCATAGCATAGATTCTAAATGAGTGTATGGCTAAATATAACCTTTGCTGTGTAGTAACTGATAATGTTACAAGCACTTGACTGTTCAACTGAAGTAAACAGTGCTATAACAACAAATTAAAACATTTAAAATATTAACATGCAAGAAAACAATGTTATTTTCACTATAAAGAAAATGCAATATACTACTTGATTTTGTAGGTTTGAGTGTTACCAAAAAGGCATTGTTATTCTGCACATTTTATAATGTCAACACTGCATTTAGCAAAAACACAAGAAAGCCAGTTCTCTGAAGCAAGATAAAGACTGGCCCATAAACATAGGCTAAGTTCTCACTGGGTTAAGGCTTTATCACTTCAGGCATAAGTTCACATGATAGAATGCTCTCCCAAATTTTGTTTAAATCCTTCCCCATAGGCAACTGAATGTCAAGAATGTCTAGCCCGACCTTGCCCCTGACTTCTAGCTCTCTATGCGCAGGGGGGAAGGATTTGTATGGGGAAGTATACACTCATGTGTCCCCTCCATCTGTAGTGGTACAGCCCCAACAAAGGTTTTGCATCTGACTGAGAACTAAGTTAAATTATGTTATTCCTTCCATATACTCAAATTTCAACCACCATACATTTCCCTAAGCCCAAAGCTTCCTTTCATTCCACATTCTCTCTCCAGTACTCTTATTTGTATATGAACATTCAATTTATACCAGCATTGAAAAACTATCACTTAACTACACTTTCACTCTGCCAGAGTGTTCAGACATGGGTGCCAAATGCATTTGTTTATTCTGTATGGCACACCTCAAATTATTGCAGATTTAGTACAGCCATTACATCAAACTGGACTGCAGACAGCAAAGTAACACATAGCATTTGATATGCTCTATATGAGATCTATTCCAAGAGATGACACACACGATATTGCTCTTACCAACATCAGTCATGACTACTATATGCCATCTGCATCATCCCACAGCATGATTTACTATATTTAGTAGATGAAAGATAAAATTAACATATATTAGCATTATTAGTATATTTGATAAAATTAACATGCTAAACTTTTTCCCAAAAATGTTGGTAGTATATAGCAATTTTCAAGATTGGGCTCAGGAAACAATTACAGACTTAGACCTGGTTCAACTTACCACTAACCCATCCTTTGTCCAGCAAATGCTCAAAGATTCCATGATCTTCTCAATCCCTGGGTTGCTTGGTCCCCTTCTTCATTCACTCCCTCCCACCATATGCCAAATGCCTTTACAGCACTATGGTACTGGCATGTATTTTACAGCCTGCTTTCCCCTGCAGTCACAAGAGAAACTCTTGCTCCTATCTCTTTAACCTGGCAAAACAATCCATGAACAATCGAATTCTGGATTTGCATATAATGACAATCCATAGTTTAAACAATCCTCAACTTACAACCCAATAACCTGGGCTCTCTGCACATGTTTTTTTGCAATTAACAACCCATAATTCAGGTTTGCCAGTGCAAGGACCACGCTTTGTCATAATTTGCCCATCAAGTCTTAAACTATAAGGAATTTCCTAATTCTTTACCAAAACCAGTTTACTTACTCCCATACAGTGGATGCAGGTGTGAGACAGCAAGAATATATTCTAAAATGTGTGTCTAGTCTCAATCCCAAGTGTCCCAAACAAACTGTTATGTCATTCTACAGGAAATGCAGTGTTCAGCAGACCTCTTAAAAGATCTATACACGTTTTTAAAACTACATTAGAGAGCTAAATTCAAACTAATGCAACTATATTAATAATGAACTCTATGGCTATTAGCCAATAGTTCAACTAAACACAGTAGCTCCAGAAAATTGCATTGCTGCAGGATACTGGAGTAGCACCAAGTGAGCCACCCTGAGAAGATAATTCCTTAGGCAGGCACCACAATTGAGAAGGTTCTCTGCCCAGTAATGGCTGTTTCACTTCAGACATACATATGTCCAAAGAAGGGCATGCTACAAGTAGGTTAAAATGAAGACAGCTGTTTCTTTAGCTACCTTGCTACCAAACTTGAAAGGTAAGCTTCAGCATTTTCCAACAGTGCTGGAAAGCAGGAAAATTAGCAGTAAATGTGTCCAAGAGAACATGTTCCATATGTTCCATTCAGAAACTCAGCAGGTATATTTTGAACTAGCTAGTTTAACATCTTCCTACAAACACTACCCACTACTGAAAATACAGCTTTGTTACAAAATAATATGGAAATTATTCACACAGATAATTTCAGGCTAGAATGCAGGTTGGAAATTTCACAATTAGTTATTTTGAACACACTAAATTTAGACATTTTATTTCAAAATATGCCAAGTATATTATTTTATAAAAGCAACTTTTATCACAATTAGGTAGAATTTTCTTAATGGTAGTTACAACAAATTTTATTCATTCACTTATTTATACTATTTGTATACCACTCCATATCTAGACAAATTACATGTTTTAAATGTAAAAAACAGTTCAGCTAATTTATCCAACAGTATAGACTGGTTCATTCATCTGCAACAGTCAGAGATATTAAAAGCTATGTACTGCACTTTCCACTGGAGAGACTAGCATATACTGTCTCTTCTTCTCAGTAAGGCTACCTCATACTATTGGTAGGCAGTCTGGGAATAGGGGGGGTCATTCGTTTAGATAGTTTTTTCATAGCTCCTCAAATATTTTAGTTCAACCTCTTCCAAGCTGGTCCTCTCCAGAAACACAACTCTGACAATTAGCAGTAACTGATAAGCTTGATCGGGAGCACAGTCAAAACTATATTGGGAACATCAACATGGAGAGCATGTTCTAGCTGAATATATCAATAAAAGTGATTTAATCCTAGCAATACTTAACAAGGTGTAAATAATTCAATCAATCAATTGTATATTTTAACATGTTAGACACCATGACTGAAAAATTCCAAAAGTTTTGGGGGTTTTTTACTATATTAGCTTTACCTTAATATGCACTTTTCTTTAGAAACACTGCAGGAAATACTGGCAGAGTCCAAATCTATTAAAATCCCTACTAAACCTGCAAAGGGATGTTACTTAATCCAGATCAAAAGCAGTAGTAACATGAGGAGTGGTGCTCAACTGAACTTTCGTTTACTATAACTTTAACAAACGTTTAGATATAAATTTATATGTTTTGCTTTTCTTCCAAAATGGCAATCACGAGAATAAATACGATGCAACCTTGCGCCATTCTCTATTCAAGGAGACGGGATTGGGACCCTTCTGTTTGTGTGTAGCAGTTTCCCGATGTTTGAGTGAATCGACTTCAAAAGTTGAACACATCCTGAGCTTCCTTAACTCAGCAATGGCAAGGCAAGGACGCTAAGCCTTGTTCTGTTTTCCCTTTACGACTGTTTGGACAGGACACTTTAACAAAATGAAACTATCTGTTTCAACTGCACTCGGGAAACAAAACCGACCCACGGAACAAGTGCAACAATTTGCTGACGAAAGGCGAAAAATAAGAAACCCTCCACACACACTATTTTAGGAAAATTTCAGCGTGTTGTAAAGCAACGTAAAAAAACAGCACGTGAAGAGCCAGAAATACTTAGTTTTCCGAACCCTACATATTGTTGCGGCATTATAAAGGAATGGGTCACCGTTCCCCTCGCTTCAACAGCTTGCTCTCTTTGGGAGAGAGAGAATAGAATGGCTCGGGTCGAGGTTCTTCAACAGCCTTCCCTCAATCACCACAGTTCAACGGCCGCCTTCCCTCCTGCTCCGCATTCACCTCCAAACCCTCAGCGCGGACCTGGGGAGGGGTCTCGCCGTCAAACACATCCCAAGCCCCACTGTAGCGCTCGACCCCACCCTCCCTACGCTTCAGCCCTCGGCTCTGCCAGCAGGACCGTTTCGAGCTTCGCAGCACGGGGAAGAGGTAATGGGGGAGTGCCAACCCATGACGACCACCTCCGTTTGCCCTGCGCCTCAGACCCCGCCCTCCTGCCCTTCTTCCTCACCGAGGTATCGTCTCCGCAACAGGCCGGGGTCCTCCAAGCCCAAACTGCGCTTCCTCACATCCCACAGGAGGTGGGTGCAACAGCCGCGGGACATGGCACCGCAAGCCGACCAGAAGAGATCCTCCCCGCCGCTTCCAGCGACATCAGTCGCTGCCACTTACTGAAGCCTCCCCTCCCCCGTCTTCACCATGGAGACCCGCGTGCGCGCCTTGCGCGCGCGTAACCGCCGCCGCTCAACAATATCGCAGAAACCGGGGCTCCTCCTCCCGCCGCTCCTCCTACAACCATGGAGCAAATCACTGGTAATATCGCGAGACTTTACAGCATTCCTTTCTCACCCATTGGTACCAAAAGTAGCCCTTTGAAAGTATTGGCCTTTACTTATAGGCATCCGGGCAGAAGCAAAACCAAAAATTAGTAACCTTCGAATTTCTTCCTTCTCTTAGGCCTTCCGAAGTCGGACTGCCCATACAGACAAACACAGGCGAATTAAAAAACAACGGTAAATGCAGCCATAGCTTTTAACTAGCATCTTAAAAAAACTTGCACAGTCCCCATCGTGGAAAAGGGTAATTTTGAAAAAAACAAAACAAAAAACAAGGCGGACATGTTTAGTTCGGGAATCCATTCTCTGTGATAAAGAATTGCTCGAATCGTCATCGATTACAGCCTAGTCGTCATAAAAAAGGGACACCAAATTGACCGAAATGTCATAGACGCCGGATTATAAACCGGTAGTGGCCGCAGGGGAAGCCCTCCAATAGAGCGAAGGACGACTGATAAACCCCGCCCCTTACTTATTCAGCGAGCAAATCAAAACGAGGCAAAGCGGGCTCGTCCTATCACCTGTTCGAGAGCGTAGCTTGGGGTGGGGCTGAGTTTGTTCGGCTCACACTGTGAGAAGAAGGACGGCAGGTCGAGGAGGGACGTAGGTGTTCTAGTTGCCGTGTTGTCACCGCAGAAAGGATGGCCGCTGCCGTTGCGGGGTTCCGTGCCTCCTACCACCGTTTCTTAGACCGGATCGAGCTCATGTTGCCCCCCCGGCTGCGTCCTCTTTACAACCATCCGGCAGGTATGGAAGTAAAGGAAAGAGATAGTAGAAAGCGGGGGCGGGGGGACCAACCGTGATATGTGTGTGTGGGGATGTGTGAAAACTGACTAGCTGTAAAGGCGCTTCTAACTATAAAAGCAGAGCGGATGTCTGTCGCTGAATTGCTTTCTAGAAGAAGGCATTTCATGAAGCATAGCTTGTATGAAAACGCTGTAATACCGAAGACGCTGTGCCTCTATTGCATCTGGCCATTGTCCCCTGATCAATCCGAATTTGCAGTGCTTTCAAAGGGAGTTAATGTGTAGCGGTCACAATGTCAGATTAGGCGTGGGAAAACTGTGGTTCAGGTCCCTCCTCAGTTGTGAAGCATATTGGTTGACCTTAAGCCAGACATCTCTCATTCTAATCTTTTTCACAGGACTGTTCTGTTAATAAAATGGGGAAAAGGGTGAGCTATCCATGCCTTGGCAAAACTATAGCACACAAATATATAGTAGTAAAATAGCAAATATCGAGATTAGTCAGCAGGTGCCTGGACGATGGTAAACTAAATGCCTTGGCATCACTCCTCTATAACTCTTCTAAGGTGCCAACCTCCTCCTCCCACTCTGAGGTGGCAGATTTTGTGAAAATAAAACAGGTGTTGAGAAACAAAGGCCTAAGGGACAAATACAGCCTGAGAGGGACATGTCCATTTCCCCTGACTTTATTGCAGTTATTTATTCCCTATCATGTTGAAAGAAAATTCACAAGCAGCTGGAACTACCCTCACCCCATCTTTGGTGAAAGACCATCTCTCATGTGAATGCTGTTCATTTAGGGATATCTCTAGAAGTTTTCAGGGGCATGTCCCCTTAGCTTTTCTTTGACAGCACTTCAAAAAATCATTGTGCTACTTCCGCAACACATTTGTGATACCACTTTTATTAGAAAATAGTCTAGATGTCCGGGAGCTGGTGGATTGGCATGTACTAATGCTGTCACCATTTTGCCATAATTCTTAGTGGTTAAACAATAATAGAAGCTCAGCTAGAATGCATACCATAGGTCAGTGGAAATGCCATCAAGTCCAAGAGGTCACAAGCAAGGTTAACAAGTAGCATCAAAGAATTTACTCGAGAAAACAAGGTTTTCTTCAGGAAATGCAAGTTGTATTGAATCAAAAAAGAAAGAATTGTAACTACATTAGAAGCAAGAAAGTAGTTAAGAAAGCAGTTGATCAGTATTTGTAAGCCGCCCAGAGAATCTTTGGGTTATGGTCCATCATTTTGAAATGGAATGAAATAAAACAAATAAAATAACAAAGAATTTAAATGAGTTTGAAAGGAAGATAAGGAAACTGCAAAAGCAAAATGATTTATTTGCATCTGTCCTCACTGCAGAAGATGTAAGCCAGATACTTATGCCTGAACTGATATTTGCAGGAAGGGAGTCTGAGGAACTTAGGCAAATAGTGATTAAAAGAGATGAACTTCTACAGATCTTAGTAACAAATTGAAAGGAAACACATCATTGGTTGTAGATGGTATATATTTTAGAGTTCTGAAGGAACTTAGATGTGAAATTGCTGGTCTTACAATAAAAATATATAACATATTCATAAGATTGCCTTCAGTATCAGGACTAGAGAGTGACTAGTGGTAGGTCAATTTTCAGTAAAGCATCCTGGAAATTACAGGACTGTTAGCATCTGGCTAGGGAAAATTGATAGAATGTATTAATAAAGATAAAATGATCAAGTATATAGAAAGACAAATCTTGCTAAAGAAGAATCATGATGGCTTTTGCTGAGGTAAGTCCTGTTTCAGTAAACTTTAGAGTTCTTTGAGAGTGTCAGTAAGCATATGAACTATGTGAGAAATTGAGAGAAAATAAAGCAGAGGTGTTGTACCTCTCCCAGCCTAAGAGCTGAATTCACTTTTGGGGAAGCTTTCAGTGATGGGGCTAAATTGATAGGATTCAAAACACCAATATGTTGTAGCATAAAGCCTTGACAGCCATACGTATGCCTTAGGAAAGAGATGTCAAACATTTAGAGTAAGAGGAAAAACTGCACCAAAGCCAGGGAACAACCAAATGATTAGTGGTTTGAAAGATGGGTGCACCTGGGAAAACCTTTAGGGCTGAATTTCCGTACTCCTGAAATAAAGGCATTGAAGGAAAGTTTGGCAAGAGGCTAGGGAGTGAGAATGAAAGGACCAAATCACCTCCAAATATTCCAAATTTCTTCCTACACAAATGTCTCCTTCAGTTTCTAGGAGAATGGTTTCAGAAAAGTAACAGTTTATTGTTCACATATCTGAAACTGTCTGTACTAAAAAGCAATGTTGTATGAACTGTTTGCAAACATTAGCTAGTCTGTGAAGGAAAAGTTTGAACAAAGATGCAAAGTATTTTTTAAATGAATGTTCAGAACTGTTGCACTGAATATGCAAGTCTTAGTTGCCGCTCACGCATATTTTCAAAATCCATGCCACGTGAAACAAACAAGTGCCATCACTGGCACAGGTCAATTTGATGACCTAATTTGATAAGTGACATTTCCCCTAGAATACAACCTATAGTATCTGAGGCAAATCTGATTTATCAAGTGCTCTCTAAATAACAACTGTCGTTCTTATTTAGGTTGTTTCCAACGGAGGCAGCTCACTTACTTTGTGACTGTTGCCAGGCTCTAGAACATTGGTATTGGCAGCAGAAAGGCATTATTTGGTGCCTTTTTTCTTTTTGTAGCTACTATGAATAAAAAGCTATTTAACATTTCTCAGGGGCATCATGTATAATTGCGACTTTGTCTTGCAAGACGTGTAACTTACAACTCATTTGTGCAGGAAGAGTAAAGCTTTTCATATATTTTGTAAAATAATCTAATGGTTGAAAGAAGCATGAACAGAAGGTAGATCAGACTCTACTGGTAGATCTGAGTGTTTTTGTAGTAGAGCACCAAATGTTTCCAGCTTCTGAGAGTTTAACAATAACAACAACAAAAAGCCTGCTTTCCTTCCTAAATAGGCTGTTGGAATTAAGAGAGCTCAGGGGGAAACAGGACTGTGTATGTGAAAGGATTTGTGTGCAAGCTTCAGTTCTGGTACTGAAAACAAATTTCTGGTCTGAGCATATGCTCAGCAATATCTTGTTCCTCTTTTTATGTTTACATTCCTGAGCTGCTATTTTGTACCTGGCTCTGTTTTGGTGGAACACTGAATTGTCTTTAGAACCCTAAAATTATAAAGAAAAACAAAAGTTCCAAAACCCCAAAATTTGCCCAGCTCTGACAATATAGGGCATAACTTACATATCTACAATTTTATAGAACAGTAATAACTTTTTCTTATATTGTATCATTTCTTTCATACCACTATATTGAATATTGTAAAATTACCAATATTAAAAGGCTTAATGTAAAAGTATTTATTTCAGGAATATAATCAACTTTTGCCATGCATGGTACATAGTGCATCCATTTTGTCTCTGCTCTCCTACCAATGCACATGAATAATATTTAGTTAAGAATGTTGTTGTTGTTAGTCGCGAAGACGCAACCCCATGGACAACATTCCTCCTATAGACCTAATAGGAAATAAGAGTTCCTAAAATTGCAGTGCTTAGAAGATGCAGTAAATACACTAAAAGTGTAGCACTGTACATCTTTAGATAAGCAGGTCTACAACTCCCAACATTTTCCGCCCAGCTTCTCTGGCTGGGGAAGTTGTAGGTCTGCTTCTTGTCTCAATGGGCATAGGCTTGTACCCTAACTCATACGTTAAAACTGTTAAGAACTGCTTTCCACTTGTGAACAGCCATTTGATCATTTTGATGTATCTGATGTGTTTTAAATATATTTCTGTAAAATCTTCTAGCATCTAGTGTAGACACCCAACATTTTGGTATTATCATAGTAACTAGATTAACTGTCCATGTTGAAATACTGTATGTATAACATCAAATCACCTTTTAATAAATCATTTTATCTAAATGACTGTGGATCCAACTGATAAACAAAAACATAGCAGTGCTGCTTTACTCCAATGAATTGTATTTTTATAGGACTCTTATCTTTTCTCACAGTGCCATATCTGACCTGAAGGGATTAATGATGGCTTCAGCTATGATTACAGCTGTAAAAGTGATTTTGAAATGTGTTAAGCAATTAGTGATCTTGGTTCCTATTCTGTAGGTACACCTGACAATCTGCTGCTTGTGAAATGCACTGAATCAGTCTGTACATAAATTAGCAACCTGGTGCCTTCTGGTTGTTTTGGACTACAGCTCCCAATTAGCTAGAATTATGAGAGCTGTAGTCTAAAACATCTGGAAAGCTCTGGGTTATCTAGTTCTGCAAGGGCATAAATATTATCTAGCTTATTAAGCATTTTACTGTTAATGGGTGCACCTCACCAACCCTGAAAAAGTCTCATTGTAATACAAAGTACTTTCTAATTGTTTGGATTAATCTCTGGAGCAGAGTGGCTCCAGGAAATACAATAATTTGCCATCACTTCTATAGAATACCACAAAGAACATTGTTCCTGTATTTCTTTTAATTAAATCTCTGAAATTTGTAACATTATCCTATTATAAAAAGAGTGTCCTCTGTTTGATTTGAAACTTGAATTATTTTATGACCAAATTCTCCAGGTGCCACCAAAAGAAAATGAGCATGTTGAATACAGGAAGTATAGTATGACAGATGCTATATTACATGCTTTGAAGAAAATGATGCAAGAATTACTGTACTTAAGAAATAAAATGAGCCATCAGATGACTGCAAAAAAATTGCTGTGTAGCAAGGGAAAGCAGCTGTGTGGGTCTATTTAAACTATCCACTACATTAAGTACTAGGGCCTAAAACATGTGGGTTGTAACCAGTGGTGGACATCTTGAATTAGAATGGCTTGTGCCAGTGAAATGTATTCCTCTCTCCTGAGGAGCCCCTGGAAATCTGCAGCATAGGTGGTTGCAGCAGGGAGTGTGGGCAGACATCTGTTTACACAACACTGTATTTCACCTCCCCCCCCCCCATCCCATCACGGATAGGCCCAGTTCTCTCCTGGCAAAAAGGCACTGCCAGTCTCAAGTTCCTTCCTGCCCCAGTTCTCTATAGCTCAGGCAAATGAAGCAGCAGTGAGGCAGATGTTTCAAACTGGGGACCTGGGAAAGGATCTTCTGCTTTATCTTTCCTTTCCTTTTAGAAAAACTGTCCTGTTTGTCACAAACCCAATTCTTTTTTCCTAAAGATTTGAATGCACCTGAAAAGTATCAGGGAGGGCTGCTGCTGTGCCCATCCTGGGGGAAAAAAATGCGACCTCAGAAACCACTGAAATGAGTAGGATGTAAAGGGTATTAAAGAAACAACCTTAGTAGCATGTCAGCCTTCCATTCTGGAACTGTTACTGACACAATACTACCACAGGAACAGGCAAAATTACTGGGGATTTCTCAGGGCAGTACATAGAAGGATAATTGCTACCAGTGGAAGCAGTCCCCCCCGTCCCCCCGTCCCCCAAATCCTTACCCAAGGTGACAGAATTTTGGAGAGGGTAACAAAATGGAGCGGACACTGTAGATTTTCCTGCAAAAAGGATCAAGTACCTCTTTTCACTAATTACAGTCTTCACAGGTTTTTGCAGTATTTGACAGCTCAGTTTGACAGCTGACAAAAGATTAACAAGGAGAGATCTACTTACTTGTATTCTTAGTGGGGCAGTGGAGAGGGTGGATAACTGTTGGGCCTTCTCCCTGTGCAGGTCCCCATTGCTGTCTGCACATCACTTTGATTGCAGTTGTACATGGGAAGAAATAAATATGGGGAAAAATTCTCGGAAAAATTAATTTGGAAATTCAAAAGAATATTTACTGACCCTAGACAGTTCATCCAAGGGACCACAGGGTAACCCCTGAAGAGTCTATTCAAGAATGGGTCAGTTGGGATTCTGAAAGCTGACTTGAGAAGTTACTTTCTTTTTTGAGATTGGGAGTCACATTTTATACCATGACAATCTGAAAACAGCTCATGGCACAGAGCTTTGTTAGTCAATCCAAGAACTAACTGGGCACATTTTGGGCAGTCAGTGCTGGTGATCCCCCGCTACTTGTTTGGCAAAAGCACTAAGAAGCTGGCTTGTACTTGGGTCATGTCACCCAGATGCCAACATGACAATCCCATCCATAAACCATGGTTTGTCAATATGGCTTATAACCCCAATAGGTTCACATAGAAAATTAACATGTCACGTGAATCCAGTCTTAAAAGTCCTTTTTGACTTTGATGAAGTACAAAGCATACATAGCCTTTCCCTTTCCTTCTTTGCTTTTTTAACAACACGTCTGGTTAGTGCATTAAAATGGCTTGATAAAACACACAATGATTTATTGGCCGTGTTCAAGTTGTTATAGAGCAGATTGTATGCAGAACAATTTAAACACGCCTTGTTTTAACTTCTGACTTGTGGGTCTAGTATTTGTAATTACAGTAGGTTAAGCAGCTTTATCTGGCTAACCAAGACCTTCTCTTGCAGGTCCCAAAACAGTGTTTTTCTGGGCACCAGTTATGAAATGGGTAAGTAGACCTGGCAGACCAGTAGGAAATGCATATACCTGTTACATTGTAGCTGGCATGCTGTCTGGGTCATGCTGGGAATTGTAGGCCTCTTTTCTGTCTAAACTCACCTGGGATTGTACATTAAATACAAATGAACAGCCTTATTCAAGTTTGTAGATAGATGAAAGCCCTCATTTGATGGCTGCTCTATGATGACAGCCACCTTGAATCTTTTGTGCCAGAGTAAAACATTTTAATAAGTAATATGAAATCTTGTGATTTAAAAAGATGAACATCAGTGTTAACTCTTAATATGAAATCTTTTTTTAAAGCTGCCTACACATTAAAGGTGTACAGGATTGTACAGCATGACCCCCATATTTGCAGAGATTGGTTCGAAACCCCGCAGTGGATTCCTGAAACTGCAGATAATAGTGACCACTATATACTGTACATATACATTTTAGATAAAAGATTCATTCTTACCATATATCCTAGCAACCTCAGTATATGATTTTTTCCATATTAAGTCAAGAATTTTCACTGAAAGAAAGCACCTTGCAACTTCTCTTTGGCATTTTACAGCACTTTAAAACTATTCTTTCAGACCAAGGGCAACTGAGGTTAAGTGAAAATGTTGGTAACTGAACCAGAGTCCTACTATCCCTCTTATGAAACGTCTGGAATGATGGGCAACTTGACTTCATCTATCAATTTTAAACTGTTAACTGTCTATCAATTAACAAGGGTCCCCAAATGATCTCCCCAGTTTGATTTAGCAAGTGTCACTTGCTAAATCAAGAGCTTGATTTAATCAATAAGAGCATGATTTAAGCTCTTATCTCTATACTAATACTGAGCTGTGAAAGTATTCTGAAAGCACTGAGACTTCTTGCTATTCAAGTCTACCATGCTACAGGGCACTGCTTGCATCACAGTGGCACAAGTCAAGCCACAAGAATAGTTTCACAAGACTTATCACATGCCTACAGTCATTTGTTTCATCTGCCAGCATTCTCCAAGTTCACTGGAACATGTAATATGGACACAGCAAATACCTTTAGCTATCTGAATTGTATGTGTAGAGTTCTACTTGTTCAGATGGAGCAATGACATCTGGGTTCCCAACTGGAAGCTCAGGAGACTGCTCAGCATAACACTGAAATAGGCTACTACTTATATTTTGCAGGGCCTGGTATGTGCTGGAATGGCTGATATGACTAGGCCTGCAGAAAAACTCAGTACATCACAATCTGCTGTCCTAATGGCTACAGGTAGGTACTGTCTCATTTTGCAATTATCTAGCTTTCAGTACAAATGAGCAATTTTTTTTCTAAAGAACTAATTGATTAACATAGTATTTCAGTTTCTCAAAGCTTCAAGCCATATTTTTAAAGTTGCCTACAGGTTGAAATTGTACAAGGTTTGATACTGAGCACATGGGAAATCTTACTCAGCAAATTCCAACATTTTTAGAAAATGCTCAAAATTAAGCTGACTTAAACATCTTTTGGCTTGTAGGTAACTGTGGTAAACATACCATTTTGGAAATGTAGGTATAATCTTTGCCTTCCTGTCTGTAACAGGGACCCCTAAAGATGGGTTTAATCCAGTGGGTGGTTAATCTGAGCAAAAAGGCACAATGAGAATGAAATACAGCATAAAATCAAAACTATTTTGAGCAGAATTCATAAACCAAGTTACTAAACTGCATTTTGAAAATTAACTTTGTTGCCATTTGTTCTTTGCTGAATAGAAGTGGCATACTAAAATTTATTACATAAACAGATCTTCATCTATAGAGAGACTCAAGACTTCTTTGGGTTAGGACTTTGCAAGCTGCCCTGATCTTTCGCTTGTCAATTATTGTAGTATTTGGTAAATATCCCAAATTTCTAGGCTGCAAAGGTGTGAATTCCATACATGTCCCCCTCTTCAGTCTGGTGCTAGTTACACTGTGAGCCCAAAGCCCTGCATATTGCTAGTGTGTTCATTGCTGCATGGCAGTTCTCTTCAAGAGTTTGATGCATCTCCCCTGCCCATCAGGACAAAAGTTCTGATTAGAACACTTGTGGAAGCCAAAACTTATTTTAGATAGGGGCACCAGTTTTAAGTGTTCCCATCTTTCATTCTAGAAATTCAGAATAGGTTGAAATAAAGCACTTGGTTAAGACAAGAAATAGCCAAGATAATGCATTTTGCTGCACTACAATAGGCATAAACTGGAAGTCTCCTTAATGTTTATGTGGTTGCCAATCTAAGAACCCCATTCTACCATTAATGTTAACCTTTATGATACTTTTCTTGGATTTGTGAATATTTAGTTTATTGGAAATAATTTTAATCTTGTTACTTTCTTCATAATCCAACAGGCCTTATTTGGTCACGATATTCTCTAGTTATTATTCCAAAAAACTGGGGCCTGTTTACTGTTAACTTCTTTGTTGGCTGTGCTGGTGGCTCTCAGCTGTACCGTATTTGGAGGTAAGTATTGAAAAGAGGTAGGAAAGATTTCATTTGTAGCTTGCTCTGGGATGTGTTTCTCAGACAGGTTTAGCTGGTGGTCCCTTTAGGGTTGCCAGCTTTTTCTGGCATGACTCCATTGCTTCAACATTACCTTTGCTTGCCATATAGAAAAGTCAGCAGGGGAGAAACTGAATTTAATTAATCTTCTTCTAGCATGCTGTTAAAGACACAAGAGAAGACATTGGCATCCCTCCTCTTTTTCCCATTCCTCACAATTTTTTATCTGTGAAAGTGCTAGGGCTCTACTTCCAGCCATGATAATTCCTTGCTCCAATATTCAAGATTTAGAAGATGGTAATTACTAATTTTTTAAAAAATCCTTGGCTTATGCAGTGGAGCATTCTAGAAACCTGCCTGGATATTCCTGCCCCAACTCCTTCAGTAGTGCATATCTCGTCATGACCTTTGTTCATCCTATATCAACACCTGTGGCATAGAACCTGTGGAAAGTGGGGAAACTTCTTTAGCAGTTCTGCATGATAGCCATACCATGAAGCCCTGAAGCTTGACTACTTCTGTAAGATCAACTGGTGGCCTAGCAGCTAACCCAAGCCTTTCCTACTTGTGAAATGCTGTCTTGAAAGCATAGAGGTTCACAACACAAAAGCCACCCTGCCCTTCCTACCAAAACACAGTTTGTAGAGCAGAAGTAGAAAGCTTGTTGGTGTACATGTACTTATTCACTGCTTCTTACTGAGCTGAATTACCAGTTGCTATATTCAGTATCCTGGTGGAATATTCAGATACTGCTATATGCAGTATTCTGATACCTGTTGGTATAAAAGTAATTAATATACTGTAGAGTTTAGATGCTGTGGTATCCTCTATTCTTGCTTAGTACCATGGTTATTTCAAGTGCTACGGTTGTAATGAGATACAATATCCCAGTTTATACAGCTATGTTGAATATTTAATGTATAGAGAATAAGCAGTACATGTAACAAGCTAGAAAGAATCCCAATTTCTTCAGTATCAGCTCTTCCCATCAAAATTAAGCCATGCCTGGCTATTTGAGCAGGATGGAAGGGAGCAGGGAGCTTTTTCTTCTCCCTCCACAGGGTTTTCCATCATTTTTTAAAAATCCTCTTACTATTTGCAGTGGGAGGGAATTCATTCAGCCCATCCCCAGATCTGGTGTAAATGGTTCCTCTTGTTGGAGGAGGAAGATTGAGGGCTGTGGATCTACACCACCTAAGGGGATATGTCTTGTCCCCTTTCAGAATTTTATGGTCGGATCTTGTCCGAGTGGATTTTTCCAGCCTTTCAGGGCAAAATCTATTATTTTGTATGGTACCTGAGATCATAAGCTTACTTACTGAATGTGTCATAAGTTTTCAGCTACCCTATTTTTTTACAGGCCCAGCACAGTAGAAAAGTTTGTTGGTATGCACAATGACTACCCATCTAACATATAGGTCACAATTCCCAGAGGGGTCCCCAGAGAGGTCCGCCTGGCGCTGTCGTTATTTGTTTTTCGGCGCCAGGCGAAGACGCTTTTATTCAAACGTCATTTTAATTGCTAATATTATTTCCTTATTTTATTCTTTGGCCAGGGCGACTTATTTTATTTTGTTAACTCGTTTTATATTTTTAATGTATTATATTTTAATGTTTTGTAAGCCGCCCCAAGGCTTCGGCGAATGGGGCAGCATAGAAATTTTCTAAGTAAATAAATACATAAAATAAATTTTAAGGGTACAATCCTGTGCATGCTTAGACAGGAATATGTCCTACTACTCTTTGCATTCCCAGCCAAGATGGCACACTGGGGAATGCTGAAAGGTACAAAACTTCTGTCTAAACACACATAGGTAAGAGTGTCATCCATCTTGACTTAGGCAGGGTGCAAGGGCAGGGAAAACTTAGCCATACAAAATCAACACTAGAATTACAGTACAAGATGAATTAAAAACCAATACAAATCAGCTGTAGTATTCCCCCCAGATCCGCACCTATAATCTTCCTTTAGTTTTACATTGAAGTTTCAAAGGCTGGAACAGCTAGAAGATGCAGCTAAACTTCTGGTTCAACTCAGCCTTGAATTCCCTTTGTATGTCTGTGGAAGATGCTGATGACCTGTTGAATGCTAGTAGTAATTATCACCTCTCTTTCTGACAGGTATAACCAACAGCTAAAAGCCAAGGAACTGGAGAAGCAACAATAGAAATTCTAACTCAGCTCTTCGCATCTCAACTATAAACACCTTCCTAAGAGACCTGGTTTTAATCTTATTCAATTAGCCAGTGTGAATTTTTTACTAAAATTAGTAGAACATGTTTTTCTATGGGTTTAGAAGGGAGTCTCTTTACATTTAAATAAAATCTTCAGTTAAATGCCTTTTTTTAAAAACATATCACAGCCAGCAAAGTACAAGTAATCTTAAAAATGCAAGTAAGAGAACAATGTTCTAGTGCTGCTGCTGCTATTAAATAATGTCAAATGGCCCCAAAAGGGTACATTTCCACCATGGAGTTGAGTTCAAAATAATCAACACTACTAGGGCATGGAAATACATGTTAATATTTGTGGGAGACTGATCTCATTTTCTTAAGGGATCAAGTTTAATTATATTGTCAAGCAATAGGGTATCACTTTCTCAGCAGTTGCTAAAATTGTACAGATAAATTATATTAAGAAATCTGGATTGGTATGAAGCCATCTCTGTTCTAGAATGGCAGGTACTGAGATAGAACTAAAAAAAACTTACTGAAATTCTGTATAACTTCTGGTGTAATAGGTGATTATTTTCTGATAATGCACAACGTACCTCTTACACAATGGAAGACTGAATGTTGAATAATGAAAAGATGTCAAATATGTGTTTTGTTAATGAAAGCTCTACGACCTCTAGCACAATAATAGCAAAATCTGTTAAACTAACACTTAAAGCCAAGTAATACTGTATATTGTGGCTGAAAGGACATAAGCACGTTGTTGTATACCCATGTCTGATGGTTGGCCTTTCATAGACTAGTTAAGATGAACACTGGCTTCAAGCTAAACCTCTACCACCGTGACTCTTATTTCTTACAAGAGGTATCTCCTGATCTCCACAAGGAATATACTATACTTGGCAACTAGCAAGTTACAGCCATATTATGTATGTATAACTACTCAAGTATGTATATTAATTCCACAAAAGTAGTCAAAAATTAAACTGGAAAGTTCTCAGTCTACTAAGAGAATACCCTTTTGCTTATCTAGTGGTCAGAGTAATATGCTAGTGCCCTATGTAGCTCCTTACTCAGAACAAAATGGTATGAAATAGTATAAAGTATAGCGTGTGAGTGAATATATCTGAAATTCTACACATTGTAGAATTCAAGCCTTGCACTTTAAGGGTATAACCCTGCTTACTTTACAGTATTGCAGTGTTCTGGTTAGAAGAATTTAAAACAAAAAGAGCTATGCTAGATCAGATCAAGGGCCCATCCAGTTTAGTTCAGCATTAACCGATTACTTGTGCAAAATCCACAGACAAAACATGAGTACAGTAGAACCCTCCTAGTCATGCTCCCCAGCAACTAGTGAAGAACATAGGCATACTGTCATGCTGGAGGCAACATATAGCTATCACCATTAGTAGCCACTGATGGCCTTATCCACCATGAATTTGTCTAATATCCTTTTAAAGCCATCCAAACTGTTGACCTCCTACAAAAGAGTTAAGGGATATGGTTCCCAACACACTAGCTCTCAGGTCTTCTCCTTCATAGTATTTTTTTCTGAATTATACAATTCCAAGAATGCTTGCACTGTAGTAAGAACATCAACCTGAAATGCACAAAAGATCATAGAATACTAGAGTTGGAAGGGGCCATGAAGGCCATCTGGTCCAACTCCCTGCTCTTGCAGGACACCAGTTTACACTATCCCAGTCAGATGGCTGTCCAGTTTCTTTCTGAATGTCTTTGGTCTGGGAGAGACCACAACCTCTCTAAGCAACTGGTTCCACTGTCATATTACTCTGACAGTGAGGAATTTTTTCCTGATATCTAGCCTGAATCTGGGTTGCTGCAGCTTGAATTGATTATTCCATGTCCTACACTCTGGTATCAGCAAGAGAAGATCTTGACCTTCCTCTTTTTGATAGCCTTTGAGTGATATCAAAATGATACATATAGTGATACCACATCCCCCCTCCCTCAGTCTTCTCAAGGCTGAACATGCCAAGTTCTCTCAGTCTCTCCTCATAGGGCACTGTTTCCAAACCCTGGATCATTTTTGTTGCCCTCCTCTGGACCTTTTCTAATTTTTCTGCATCTTTCTTAAATCTTGATGCCCAGAACTGGACACAGTACTCCAGGTAAGGTATGACTAGTGAGGAGTATAGAGGAACTACTACTACTTGTGATTTGGAAGTAGTACTTCTATTAATGCATCCCACAATAGCATTTGCCCTTTTGGCGGCTGCATCCCATTATTGGCTCATACTAAGTCTGTTGTCCACAATTACTCTGAGGACTTTCTTTTCCATTCTGTTGATCAATCGATCCCAATGGCAGTTGGTTTGTAGTTTTACTTCCCATAGTTTATGTCGCAGTTTGAAAATACAAAATTTACACAGTTGAGGTTTAATCCAAACTAGATTTTAATATGAACTGTAACTTTTATATTCTTTCAAGTTGTTTGGCAATTTCATCAACACACTTTGCATTTGAAATTTAATGGTTGAAGAGCTTTTCCTCCTTTTTTAAAGGCAGGAGTGTAGAGCCCAAGACATTGGGGCAGGTTTAGCACTCAGGGGATCACTAGTTGGCCATGCCTCCTTAACCCCCTCCCAACCACTGATCAGTTCTCTGGCATTTGAGTAATTTCCTCCATTTTAAATCATACAGTGGCTTCCCCAAGGCTCAGTTACAGGCAGTTAAAGCTTTTAACTTATGCTACTACTGGTAGCCCTACCCCTTTTGAATTTCACTTCACCTGTGCCAGGAATGTAGCCCCTAAGAGCTTCTCCAAAATGGAAGTTTACATACAGGTGGGAAAAGGGTCACTACCCCTACTTTGATGCTAGATGAGATACTGAAGTAGCTTTGCTTAAGAGGTAAGAAATACTGGGATAATAATGGTAACTACTTATCCTGGCTCCTTCTGTCTCCTACAACTAGGTCAGTGGAAAAAAGTGTGGTCTGGGTATTCTACGCCCCCAGAACTATAAGTCTCATTTATGACATTTCATAGCAGAAGTTTACAGTAATAGCTTTCAGTGTCTCTTGGCAAGTGACAAATCATGACATACACAACAGACCATTAATGGAAAAAGTGTATTAAAATATTCACAAGAGTACAATAGAAAACATGTAAATATCCAATGGGATGACTGTCCAAAGTAGAAGCAAAGCAAAAGAAACTGTATGCAACCACTGGCTTCTGCATTAAAGACCACGTAAAATAAATTCTTTCCCCACATTATACACCTATTTTATAGGTGTTTGCCCCTTTCTCCCCAACCCTCTCAATCTAGCAGCATCATAGTGTGGTGCCCTCATAGCGGTGCTTTCCAGAAATGAGTGAACTTCCTGAGGAGTCCTTTCTGCTCTATTCAGCAGCTGCTTGTGAAAAGGTGTGGAAGAAAAGACTGTACAATATAAAATTTAATTCCAGTTTTTTAAAAGTGCAGAAACAAAGTAAAAAAGGGTACTTTCACTTATATGGAATTGTTTAGGGCAAAAAATTCTTGAGAAGGAAGTCCAAAGTTTCGGAAGTGATCTTTCACAGTGGGAGTCTTTCATTAGATCTTGATTGCCTTTCACAGAAAACAGCACCATAGGAAAATTGCCCTTACATGGGCTGAGGTGTCCCCTAGCACTTCAGCTGGTAAAAAAGAATTAAAGGAAAAATGTAATTCCCCACCTATCCTATACAAATTGAAAAAATCTGGTTTTAAAATGTTTCAGACAATTACATGTAAACTATGAACAAGACTTCACAGACTTCATGGCTCATCTGTTGATTATTAAATACCAGCTCACTTCACTGGAACTGACTGTACAAAAAAGGAAAAACTTTGAGTTCTCTATACAAAGCAAGTTACAAAACAGGTGCTGTGACAATTTAAAAAATTTAATACAGAACCATTCCAGTTTCTCTATTCACAGACTGAAATGCTGATATTGTAGACACACACAACACTAGTAAGAGAAATGCTTCATGCACAAATATAACTGCTAAAATCTGAAAGGTCATCAATTTCTTCCCCAAACTCTATTAAATAAAAATGCTTAAGCATGGTAATTTTCTGTGCAGAACATCTATTTAAACATTCCAGGAAGTATTTAAATGAGATGCGGAAGATACAGTTGTTAAGGAGTAGAAACCTAGCAGCATATTTACCCCAGTCTGTTTTCTCTAAAATGGGCAATCTACGGTCTCTGAAGTTGATGGCAAACTGAATTTTAAAAAGGTTGGACTGCACTTTAAAGTTAGAAGGGACACTGTTTACATATTAGAATATAGACCATGGAACACACTTCAGCCAAATGGGTTAAAGGGATAATCAGTTGTAAGGATGCCATCATTTTTACTGAGAGAGGCTTTGCATTTGCCAAATGATCTATGAAGGAGCAAGTGCAATAGGAGAGAGGAGGGACAATGAATGTTTCTCCAATATACTGTAAACAATACCTAAACTTTAAGAAATTGAGAGACTGAGATACACACTGCAAACAAATGGCCAGTTTGATATTCCTAAATCATCTTACAGATTTGTGTGTTCCAGTTGCAGTTCCCTAGTTATGGATGATCACACTGTCAACATAGATCACTGATGGCAACTGAAACAAAATGTCAAGAGAATTACTATCAGGTGAAGATGAAGGACCATGTGGGGGGGACCACTAGTTATATGGTGTTGAAATTAAAGGATTCCTTTAATTTCTACATAATAATAATAGTTTTTGTTTTGCAACAGTAATAGGATCCTATATGGTTCATTTGGCTGCAGTTATTCACATCGAATGGACTGCAGTCATTCACATAGAATCAAAAGCTTTCTCCCCTCCAATGGAGCTATGTACACTGTGAGTATTGGGAGCAGTACTAAGAGCAGACTTTTGGCATTTGTCACAACCCCCATCACTAGTTCAGCCTGTCAAGATAGAAAGCAGTCCATTAATTAAAAAACTTGGTCAAGGAGAATGCAGGAAACAGAACACCTTTAGGACGAAAGTAAACAGCCTGATGACGGAATATGCTCTCCCTCCGCAGTCAAATTGCCTGTCTCAGCTGTTAGGTGAAATCTGCTTTATATCTGCAGAAACTCTAATTTCGATTCTAGAACATTTAAACAAAACTGAAAGGCAATTAGGAGCCTTAATCCAAATGAATGGCCACCCAGTACCCAAGTCAGAACAAAGAGGTGAGGAGGAGGAAGATGCCAACACTCCATGCCCCCCCGCTTTAACTCTGAGCGAATGCAACTTGCACAACATAAGACTGAAGAGAGAGTACAGAGAGTATTCCAAACAAATCAGGTCCTAATATCCTTTCCAAAGAAAGATGCTCAACTCTGGACAAATAAGGAAAGCTTACTTACCTCTCTGACAGAGTTGCTGAATCATGCTATACCCCCACTGCACTAAAAACACTTCCACTTTCTACCATCACAAACGGACCACAAAAGATTATTCGTAGACTTTAAATCACCTACTGTGCCCTTACAACGTTTTCATTCTGCACAGTATCTGAGAGGGTATGACATAATCTCACAGAGAGCCTTCAAAGAGATGGGAGTTAGAATCCCTTCCAGAGCTAGAAGGGTTAATCATGGCACCACTTCATCAGTGATAACTCAAAACAGCTGTGGAGGAGGCTAACCTTGACATGAAAGATAAACAGCCAGTGAACAGTCACTGTGAGCTGGCTGGCGGCCAGCCAACCAAGCAAGATGGTCTTGCAAAACTAAGGAACAAACTAGAGGAACTATTAATGCCAATGAGAACTGGACAACACAAAGTAGACCTGGCCTTGGAGAGAGACAGCGACATCTCGGATCCTGACTCTTCCTTTATGAGTTCTCTGGATTTAAACTTGGATACCTCTGCTCACATCACAGACTGTAACATGAAGCTAACCAATAATGCTGGACTGGATAATAGCCCACTCCATTCCCTGTTGATTAAGGAAAACCCCATGACTGCCACAATGGATGGCATGGAAGTGGAACCAGAGATGA